ATATGTATGTATGCATATCCACACGTATGTGTGCGCGTACATCTTTGTGCACAAGCATATGCATGTGTATATATATATATATATATACATATATATATATATATATGGAAATATGAATAGTAAATATCAACAAATGAACAAGCAAGCAAACAAACAAAATATAGACGCACATAGATGTTTGTGCTTTAGGGTTTATGGGCTATAGGAGTTGTGGACTTAGACATCATACTGATCTCTAAACACCTAGCCCGATGCCCTAAACCTTTAAACCCTAGACCCATAAACCCGAAAGCCTAAAGCCTAAACCCTAAACAATTAAACCCTAAACCCTTAAACTCTCGACCCATAAACCCGAAAGCCTAAAGCCCAAACTAAACACTAAACCCTTAAACTCTAAACCCTTATAAACCCTACGCTTAGCCCCATGCCTCGACTCGGCGGAAGGCCCAGCCCAAGTCTTTGCCATCGAGCGAAGAGCGGCGCTCAGCACCTTCTTCAAGGCTCGGCTTCCGGGGGTTCTGAGTCCCAAAGGGTCCTACGGTGATTAGGGTTCCTTTAAAGGGATCTATAAGGGTACCTTTAAGGGATCTATAGGGTTTAGGGTTTAGGGTGATGATATAAATCCTGCATTACTTTAAGGACCCCTAAACTACGGGAATTATGGTATATTCCTTATTATGGGTAATGCAGGATTTATATCATCAACCGTAGGTTCTGTTATGGGCGATACTTCCCCAAATCATCATAGTAATTCCTATGATAGAAACCCAACATGGTCCTAGGTTCTGCTACAGCCTTGTCCTTTTTCATGGTTCCCCCTCAACAACAGACCGGCAAGTAGACCTTCTTAAAAAGGGGATATAGGTATAGGGCTCTGTCTATTCTTTCTAGAGGACAAGGGTGTTCTGTTATGGGGGGGATACTTCCCCAAATCATGCGAGTAATTCCTATGATAGAAACTCAACATTCTCCCATGTAGGTACTTTGGACCCTTTGGGAGTTTAAGGTTTCAGCTTAAGGGTTCAGGGGTTAAGAGATTGAGGGTTTAGGGGTATAGGGGTTTAGGAATATGCCCAGGTCTCTATTGTAGTTCCATTTTTGTGGTAAAGAAACGAATTCTTGGTTTTGACCATGTGGTTACCGAAATAGGAACTTTAACGGAGACTATAGGCATGGCCTGGGTACTGCCCCCACCCTGCAGCAGTCTGATTTGAGTGGGGGCGGTACCCAATCTATAGCTACTTACTTTGTAGTATCCTAAGAGTTTAATTAAAGGCTACCTACTCCACTACCAGGGGTTTACGGGGTTATAGCAGCTTTGTTGTGTTTTGCTGTGCTCGGTTTGCTGTTGAAGCGGAGTTGAAGGTTTATGCACGGTTTATATAGGGTTTCCTCAACTCGGGTGCCCTGTTTGTGAACCTTACCATGAAGATCCTAATCAAGCCTTCCTAGTCATAACGGCTTCCTTTTCGGGACCGGGCCGCTACCAAAATTAGGCGACTTTTGATTAGGCAGACTGACTAAGCCTTGAACGCCCTAAAATGCAGGAAACCCTAAAAATACCAACGACAACTCGAAGCCGTAATAGCCCTACAGCCATAACCCCAAATTTCAGCAGAGCTGCTGTACCGTAAGGAATGTGCTAAAATGGCTTGCTTATACACGGCTTTTGTTGTAGCGCTGCGTTAGAAAACTCAAAAATTAGATGGACTTTCAGTGATACCACGTCTAAAGGCTTCTGAACGTCTCGAGCGTGTCAATCTCACGATCAGTGCAGCTATCGTACATGAGTGCGTATGTGAGTATACGTTCCGTCGCGGTGTCTCCGCGACTGTGTGTGTGTGTGCATGTGACTGCATGTCTATATATATGAACACACCTGCGCTGTCTGCTGCCTACATGCATGCATGCAACCTCGAGACTGAACTTCGTAAGCACTACGATTTAACTCTTCGTACTTGTCCAGTATCCGGTTACAGACGGATTTTGGTAGCCCAAAAAGGTTAAAGCCTGCCCACTACTACGACTACTACTACGACGACGACTACTACTACTACTACTGCTACTACTACTAAGTCTTCACGTGCAATAGAAACCCGGTGGTATGTATTCCCAACTTGGAAGGGCGGGGGACTTAGTAAGTAGGTTATAAACCCTAAACCCCATAGACCTTTAAGGAACCCTATCGATCCCTTTAAGGAACCCTATAGATCCCTTTAAGGAACCCTATAGATCCCTTTAAGGAGCCCTTTAAGAGCCCCAACAAAGTCCCCTAAAGCCCTTCCAAGAAGGCGCCTCGGGGAGTCCCCGGCGCACGTGCGCTGAGGGCTTCCCGTATAGACAGCGACGTCCGCGTCTCGGTAAATGCCTGCTCGTCGTGGGATGCGGATACGAGATTCCAGGTTCAGAGTTCTGGGTGGGTGGTTTGAAGGCCTTTCATCGTTGGAATAGGGTTTGGGGATATCTTACACAATACTAATATAATATATTCTAATTATAATAAGGAGCCCCAAAACCCTATTCGAATCATTAAGACCCCTCCAGAGGTTTCAGTGAACAGAAAGCTACTGAAGGCCTGAGTGAAGCCTCGAATCAGGCGTCGAAGGCCTTCATGCCCGTAATTCCGGGGCCTTGATACTTAGAAGAGGGTTTTGGGGTCTTGAGGGGTAGGGTGTAGGCTTCCTTTATAGCTTTCCTTCAAAAGGGTCTATAAGGGTTACTATAAGGGATCAAACAGGGTATTATAATGTAGGGCCGTAATAATGAGAATAGGGTTCCTTTAAAGGGGTTTCCTATGGTTACCTCAAAGGGGATCAAAGGGGCAACAGAAATTAGAATAGGGTTCTTTTAAAAGGGATCCTTTATAAAAGGGGATCTATAAGGGTACTATAATGCAGGGGCCTTAATCATTAGAACAGGGCTTTGGGGCAAGACTGGTTGGTATGTGAGACACACTGCTGATTGCAGGGGACTTCGAAGGCTATCGTTGGGTCCTTTTGGACCTTTTCGGGCCTTTAAGTAGGCTGTAAAACCCAATAAGCCCAATAAGATCTTGACTGTCGGGCCCCGAACCTGTAGCTAGACCCAAGAGTAACCTAGGAACAAAAAGGGTGCCCTTTTTGGTTTAAAGGGGCTTATAAGGGGACCTGAACCCTAAAAAAAGGGGAATAAGGGCCTACTCCAGGTCCTAGGAACCTGTAGTGGCTCGATCCCGCTACTCCTAAATCTGGCCTCTCCACGTCTAAGGTTCAGGGCTTAAGGTTCAAGCCCAAAGGGTCCTATGTACTGTTCTGGGGGATACTTCCCTAAGCCATAGTAGTAATTCCTACTATGAAAAACCTTACATTCTACTATATCGGTACATAGGAAACTTTGGGAAGGGCTTCGAGTTTAAGGGCCTCTGGTGACCCTGAACCGAAAGATCCCGAAGTCCTCTACAATCCCGCACCTCAAGCCCTGAACCCTTCACTCAACCCCTCTTACCCCAAGGGTCCAAAGGACCCAATAATTAGGTACTCGGTTTTAGGATAGTAGTTATGTAGGTTAGGATTTGGGAAAGTATATGATTATTAGGTACTTGGACCCTTGGGGTTACTTGTGGCCCCCCACAAGCCTAGCACTGTGAGGACTTTCATGACGGAACCAGACCCAGGAACGCCGAAAAAGGGTGGACTTTTTGCGCAAACACGAAACTGCAGACACGCAGAGCTACAAGGCCCTGACAGCACAAGAGTCCACGGACCTATCAGATCAGATGTGTTTCAAGTAAGTACAAAGGAGCCGCTTGAAGGTCAAAACATACGCTATACAGATACATAGACTCTTTAAAATTTAAAACCCTATGAGCCTGAAAAGAACCAGAAGAACTGTTGAAGGAACCTTTCAAAGGAATGCATGGACTGTTGAAAACCACCCAGAAAACAGCAGAACAAACCGTAAAGGCAGCCTTCACGTACATGGACCCCTAGGGTCATGACACCCAAAGCAATGCCCAAAATTCGTGAGGGAAGCTTGGGCCAGCGAACCTCGAAAGAGTAAAGCCTTTAGCGCTTAGGGCCAGTGCTTGAAGGGCTTATGGTGTTCAACTCTGGAAGAAGGTTAGCGGTCTAGCATCCCAGGAGGGTGGGGGGTGGTTCTGAATAGCTTTCACACGTAATTCTAGGATTCAACAGGACGAAACAAGATCAAGCTCCAAATCCGTGTCCGCAGCAACCCAAGGACAGCTACATTCACACAAATAATATTGAAGGGCTCATGTGCACATACAGCTATACTTTGGCTTGAACGTGTTTCATGTAGGTTGCTTTAAGGCCAACATCAACACTATATTGAGTACATGGAGCCTCTGAGTCAACCCTAAACCCCATAACCTTCCCTAAACTCTATACCCAAAACCCCTTAAACCTAAGCCCCTAAACCCTAACCTAAACCCTGAACCCCTAAACCCATTTTGAGGAACCTATGGGAGATGCACCTGGAGGATGCTTACAAGCCGAGAGCAGCAGGCATGGGCCTAGGATGCTGTAAAGGCTCTAGGCGTAGGCTGTGGGGGCCTAAAGTAGGGCCCCCCAAAAAGGGAGATCCCACAGAAACTCCATTATAATGAAGCCAATAAGGTAGGGATATCCCTATAAATTGCTTATTAATGGGTCCCCAATAAATAAGTACTTCCCAACACTTCTGAGTTCCTTATCATAAATATAACAGGATATACAAGAAACCTTATTCGAATCATAATCATAAGAAGAAGAAAGCCCCGCCACATTGTATCCACGGTCTGGCTCTTGTTTTGGACTTTGTCTTGCTCCCATCCGGAGGGGCACCTCATGATGACCTTACCTTCTAGTCCTGTAATCTGCAGATCCCACGTACCCCAACCTCCAATTACCTATCTGCAGATCTCCTTACTCATCTGACTTCGACCTTTCGTCTTTTTCTCATTCTCCTAACGTACCCCCAGAACTTCAAACCCGTAAAGCGCAGTTTTTCTTCTCCCCCTCTCACTTCTTCGTCGTTCGCAGACCGTCGGCATTGTGGATGAAGCGCTGGCTTGCGCGTTTGGACCAAGCACGAAGCCAGTCGCGACGAGATTTACTGTTGAAGAAATCACCTGTTTCATAGGAACAGGCCCTGAAGTGAGGCCCGCAAGGTTCGCTTGTTGCCATCATGTCCACGGCACGGTCGAAGGTCCGAACATCGACGTCTGTCGCAGGCTGTAAGATCAGGCCGAAGGACCCAGGTTTCGATCAACTGTCTGATTCCATCCCTGCTATCCAGGTCGAACTCATCGTCATCGTCGTTACTGCCACTGACGGATCGGCCGCAGCGAAATGGACTGGCGCTGCCTGCACTGCAGACCTAGCTTCGGCTCTCTGAACAGTCTGAGCTGACGCGGCCGATGCTACCTCATCATGCAAGCGTCTGCGCTTCCGCATCTCGACAAGATCTCCCATGAACTTTTGCGTAGTGTGCCGTTCCTTCGGTGCGAGCATCTGCCGGTGAGCCTCCACATCGAAATGCGGAGGTGCTCTGCGAAACTTGACACCTTGAATCTTGCAAACCCCAAACCCTCAACTGGCCCTATAAACCCCAAACCCTTTAACCCCTGAACCCCTGGAGTCATGGGAGCCAGTAGTTCGATAGCGGCTTTTGGGGGGTGGAGGGTATATTCTACAGACAGCTATTAAACCCCTAAACCCTGAACCCTAAACCCTACTCCCCAAACCCTAAACCGTCAACCCCTAAACTTCCTAAACCCTACCTTAACCCTGAAGGACCTCCCTTTTTAAGGACTTATATAAGGAAATCATAATAAGGAGCCCTAAAAAGGTAGGTTTTTCAGGGTTAAGGTAAAGCCTGAAAGCCCAGATCCGCCGAAGGAGCACTTTTCAAACCCTAAACCCTAAACCCCTAAACTTCCTAAACCCTAAAGCCGAAAAGCCCAAATCTGCCCCAAAGGGACACTTTTTTAAAGCCTCTCTGGCGTGACTTGGTACGAGTTCATGGACCCAGGATCCCAATAGACCTTCCAAAATCCCTTAATTAAGGAAAATACCCTTAAATTATAATAGGATCCCTAATATGAATTAAGGTAAATACCCCTTAAATTATAATAGGATCCCTAATATGAATTAAGGTAAATACCCCTTAAATTATAATAGGATCCCTAATATGAATTAAGATATATTCCTTAATCAAGGGATTTTGGAAGGTCTGGGTATGTTGTAACCATCATCGCGGGCCCTAACCCTAGGAATCTAAGGACTCAGCTATTAAGGCTTTTGGGCCCAAAGACCATACTCTATAAGGCTTTCGGGCTATTTTGATCCCCAGGGCAATACCAGGATCTGAACGTTTGGAACAGGGGCTTTGGGGTATGTTGTAGTGTAGATATGTCCCGGAACTCCACAAAGAATGTAGCTTCACATGATTCCGCCTTCTATATAGCATAAAAAGCCTTACCGCTAGCCCCAAAAAACCCTAACCCTCCACAAGGGCCTTTTAACCCTGAGCTCTTGAATGAGGCCAGCTGCATGCCGCAGCGCCCAGAAGCACTGCCAGGGAGGGCAGGCCTGGTACTTGGAGGGGCAGGGGGCTTAGTAAGTCGGTTATAGGGCTCCTTAAAGGGATCTAAAGGGTTCCTTAGAAGGGATCTATGGGGTTTAGGGTTTAGGGTCTACTTGGAGGGGCAGGGGACTTAGTAAGTAGGTTATAAGTAGGGTTATAATTGGGGTAACTCCATTTAGGGTACTTATAACTCTACTTATAACCTACTGACTAAGTCCCCTGCCCTTCCAAGTAAGATTTGAAGGTTATGGTTCAGGGCATTAGGGTTTCTACCAGGACCCGTTAAGGGCCCTTTAATAGAGCGCTGATGGTCCTTATTGGTGGGTATTTGGGGTATATAAGAGGGTAGTTGGGGGGTGCTGGTAGGGTTTGGGGTTTAGAGGGGTTAGGGTTTAGGGTTTGGGCCTTAGGGGAATCCAGGCTCAGAGGACCCCTCAGACGAACTTTGTGAAACTTTGATGTACCTGGGCTCTGGAACTAGACCCAAGCGTAGCCTAGGAACAAAAAGGGTGCCCTTTTTGGTTTAAAGGGGCTTATAAGGGAACCTGAACCCTCAAAAAAGGGAATAGGGGCCTACTCTGGGCTCTAAGAGGAGCTTAGGACTTCGGCTGGGGTGTAACCCTAGGCATCTGAGGAATCATATAGGGGTCCTTTAAAGGGATCTATAAGGGGTCCTTTAAAGGGATCTATAAGGGGTCCTTTAAAGGGATCTATAGGGTTTAGGCATCTGAGGACTCATATATTAAGGCCTTTGGGGCCCAAAGACCATACTCTATAAGGCTTTTTGAGCTATGTTGATGCCCAGGGTAGCTGTAACTTGAGGGCTGAGACTTTCGGCTTCCACGCCTTGCTGTGACTGCGCAGAGCGCTTCACAGCTTCAGTATCTCAAAAGTTCCTGAACTTTCAGGACTTCGCGCTTCTGGGCCCCTAAACCCTATAAGCCCTAAACCCTCAGGGTTCAGGGCGAAGGGCCCTCAACCCCAAACCTCAACCAGAAACGAGGAGCCCTAAACGTCCCAAAACCTGAAACCCTTAACCCCAAAGCGATACCGTAGACCGGTATTCCACAAGGGTCCTAAGAACCCAATAATACGGTATTGGGGGATTAGGATAATACTTATGTAGGTCAATGTTTGGGAGAGTATATGAATATAAGGTATTTGGACCCTTAGGGAATCCTAAACCCGAACACGAAACTCTGAACTAGCCCTGTTGACCCGAAATGTTGAGGCTACGCTAAATGTCTTTTTGCAAACCCCTAAGCCCGTACCCATTCAAAGACCCGCTACCCTAACCCCAACTCTACAAACACATGTAGAGAGGGAGCCTTAAACAACAGCACAAGCCTTACATGGCAATGACTTGCTGGCTAGTGCTAACCGCTAACATCCCGAACTCGCACCCTTCAGTTATTCTCGCCCCAGAACCTAGGAAGACTCGGAGGTTTTGGTTTTGCAAAAAGGACCGCCATGGACCCCGTACAAACTGGACCTGAACCTTGTCATTGGAACACACGCAAAAAATCGAAAGCTAGCCAACGATATTCAAGCCTACAAAGCCCGACATGTAAACATCCTAAACCCCCAAACCCTCGGAATCCTTGGTAATGGCCAAGTGGACCGCCGAGAGCAAGGAGGGGACCAGCAGGGCCGCCGAGAGGGCCACGACAGCCTCGTACTCGCCTCGCTTTGCAAGTCTTTGCAGTTCAATATCTCGAAACCCTAAACCCTACACCCAAGAAGCTTAGGAACCAAAACCCTAGAGTGTTCTCCTAACCCCTAAACCCTAAGTATAGGGTTTAACTCACAAGCCCTGAAGTTTAGGGCTTCATAAACCCTAACACTTGTATGGGGGTTTAGTCATAAGGTTGCCCTCAGCACTAAAACCTAAAGTATCGGGGTTAGTGTTCTCCTGGACCCTAAGTCTACGGTTTAGCTGTTAGGCTCCAAGCCCAAAACCTTACAAAGTCCAGGGTTTAAATGGTTGTCCCAAGCCCGAAACCCTAAACCGTCTGGGTTCAGGGTTCACCAGGAATCCAAGAACCCACCGCGGCATGGGATATAGGCCGCTTTCCCCCTGGCCACGCTCTGAGTATGAAGGGGCCTTTACAATTTTCAATTGGGTTTTGGGGCCAACTTTACTTTCTTTATAAGAAGGAAACCCCAAAATAGTATTGGTAATTATTGGGCCCGTATAGTACACGCACTAGCGGCAGAAGACATGGCGCAAGGCATGTACTTGAAGCTGCGCAAAAGTGGCTGCTGTGCATTCAGTTGAACGACAGCGTGCGAAGTGTTCAAATACTGGCTGCAAAGCAATTAGTCAACCAGGTTGAGTGCCTGCGGGGGCTTCCTGAGCCTCCAACTCCAGCTGCCAGCGGTAGATGACGGAGTCGACGACTGCAGCTGGCAGGGCCCAGATCCGGATGGAGTCATCAGCGAAAAGCTGCGGCTGCGCTTTCCTCACCTTTCTGAAGCTCTTCATGATGGCGCCTGGCACCGGGTCGCCTGCCTTGTGGACTATGCGCCCGCCTTTCGCCCAGAACTCCCCGTCCCAGCCACTTGTTGTCCAGGCTGATGTATGAGCACAAAGCTCGTTTCAGTGCAAGACTCCGCCCCAAGGCGGGATTCCAGCGGCAGCAGGCAGGTAGGACAGGCATCTGTAACTAATTATCATAAACTCTCGGAAATTACAACCTACATAACTACTACCCTAGGCCCTCAACCCAAGTACCTTGCTACGAGTATTGGGTCCTTTTGGAATCTTGGGGTACATATTGGGCCGGGAGGCATCGCAATGCAGTATCTCAATCTCGGCAGAGCTTTCAAGGCGACAATGCGGAGGTTTAGGCTTTTAGGGATTAGGGTTCAGAGTTTAGGGTTTAGGGGCTCAGAGTTTAGGGTTTGGGGTTCAGAGTTTAGGGCTTGGGGTTCAGAGTTTAGGGTTTAGGGTTCAGAGTCTAGAGTATCATCCAACTACCCTCTAATATTCCCCAAGTACCCCACTATGACGGGCCATAAGGACTCTTTTAAAGGGCCCCTTTGGGGCGGTCCTGGTAGGGCTATAGGAAATTCAGACTTCTAGGGTTGATGATCTAAATCCTAAGGGTTCCTTTAAAGGGATGATCAATAAGGGTACCTTAACCCTAAACCCTATAGACTCCCTTCAAGGTACCCTTCTAGATCCCTTTAAAAGGAACCCTTACCCTATCCCTCCCTCATAGTTAGGGCTCTAGACCCCTTAAGGGCCCCATAATCAGGTCCCTGGAGGCATAGGGTCAGGATGTATATCTTCACCCTAAACCCTAAACCCTATAGACCCCTTTAAAGGTACCCTTGTAGATCCCTTTAAAGGAACCCTTAGGATTTACATCATCAACCCAGAGACTCCAATATCCCTTAATCAAGGAATATACCTCAAACTATAGTAGGATCCTTAATATGATTTAAGGAATATTCCTTAATTCAGGGATATTGGAGTCTCTGGGCACCGTAGGTCTGCACGGCAGGTGGCTGCGCAAAGTCGGGTCGTACTCGGCGGCCTCGGGCTCGAAGCTGCACGACTACTTGGAAGGGCTTTAGGGGACTTTGTTGGGGCTCTTAAAGGGCTCCATAAAGGGATCCATAGGGTTCCTTAAAGAGGTCTATGGGGTTTAGGGTTTAGGGTCTACTTGGAAGGCAGGGGACTTAGTAAGTAGGTTAAAAGTAGAGTTATAAGTACCCTAAATGGAGTTACCCCAATAATAACCCTACTTATAACCTACTTACTAAGTCCCCTGCCCCTCCAAGTAAGAAGGTCAAAACGACAGGGACTCTGATGCAATGTTCCTAACAGACAGAATAGAGTTTTGGGGGCATAGTATGTTGCAATTTTAATAAGGAGCCCCCAGAATAGTATTGGTAATTGTTTCGGCCCCGATATTGGGATTTCTATTCTTGCGAAAAGGGTTGTGGTGCTTCTGTTGCCGGCTCCTCCACTGCAAAAACTGCTGCGGTTATTCCTTGGGGTTCAACCTAAGGCCCCAAAGTAGCTCCTTTTGTGGATTCATATATAGAATCCTATAAGGTAATCTACAAAAGGAACTACTTTGGGGCCTATGGGCAGTGTCTGAAGGTTTAGGATTTTCGGTTTGGGGATTGCGGCTTCGGCTTTGGTGCTGGCGATATACTATACTGAACTTAGAACACGAGCAAAACATATAATTTTAGCTGTTTCTTAGGTAATATATTATTATATAATCACCAAAAACTAGAAATTATTTCAAAGTACCCCTAAGATATAGGGGACTTAAGTGATGCACGACGGTTATACTTTTTCAGGTGTTTTCAGAGGAACAAAATTACCACCAACTATTAAAACCCCTAGCTTCTTCAGGAACTTGGTCTAGGTTTCCATGACAGGCACATACCTGAAATCTTATCTTTTCCTTGCCATGGTAACAAAGATGAGGCTCCTGATCACCAGCCCGCACAAACGGCTTGAAAGAAACCCTGATAGCCATCCTTGCAGTAACCGTCATCAACCCGCAACCAGACACTAAACGCCTACATTTTGGTATCCCTCCTTAAACCCAAAACCACACCCTCAACCTTCATTTCAACCGTCACAGTCAGCGACCCTCCCTGAACTGAAACACCAAACCCTAAACCCTTAACCCCTTGCAGTAACCCTCCTCAAGCCCTAAACCCTGAGCCCTAAACCCTTACAGTCAGTAACCCTGCCCCAGTCCTAAACCAAAACCTACACAAATTTTACCCTCAGCGTCAGCAACCATGCCTGCAACCAAACCCCAGACCCTAAGCCCGTATAGCGAAGCTGCCTGCCAACATCGAACCTTAAGCCCTGGCCCTAACCCCTAAACCCTGATGGTAACCCTCCCTACACCCTCAACCCTACACCCTTATCGTCAGCAACCCACGCAAATAAATGGAAAACCCTTGTGGCAACCCTCCCTAAACCCTCAACCCTACATCGTTCTTCAAAGAAACTATCCTAAACCCTTCTCATAGCCATTTATAACCCCTTGAAGAAACCTTTAACCCTGAAGCCTTCTCACGGCCGTTTATGCCTTACTTTAAAGATACCTTAAAACCTATAACCCTTCTAAGAGCTCCGTAAACAGCGACCCCAGGCAGGCACGTAAACAAATCCACAAGGTTGGGATTTCCCATAATCCTCTTTTAACAAAGAACTAACCCCGATGGTCCCAATAATGAGGTACTTGGGTTTGGGTGGCAGTTACCCGGATCTCCGTGCGGAAAAGAAGCGAAGCTCAGATTCTCTGTTTCCAAGCGATCCTGCTTTCTCTACATCTTAGGCTGTCTACTCTGTAAGGTCTAGGGCTAGGGTTTATAGAGTTTAGGGTCTTGTTGTTGGGCTTCGGGGCTTCAGGGCAGGATTCGGGCGGATTAATGTTTAGGGTTTCCAGGGGTTCAGCTAGGTTTGGACGTTTGAGCTTGTAAGGCTTACAAGTAGAGGGAAGCCAGGACCCACTAAACCCCCAACCCGAGAACCAACTTTATTACAGGGTCCCTGTAAAATAAATCCAGATTAGGGTTAACAAGAGTGATAATATTGCGCCGGCTCCAAAAAAAGCATCACCGACCCAGGAAATTGATTTAAGGGTTTAAGGTTTAGGGCCTAGGGTCTTAGCAGACCTGCCGGCCCGACTAGTGTAGGAGTGTAGGAGCCATATTGATGCTCAGCGAGTTTCAAGGTAGATGAACCATCTTGGCATCTTGGCCTTTACAGTACTAGAACCACCAATACCCCAAAAGACCTTCATCTAACAGCACGGAACCCTAGAGCGATACCCAAACGTGGCAAGCCGCCCATGACGACCCGCCCCCTAATCCTAAAACCCTGAATCCTAACCCTTAAATCCTGAACCATAATCAACTTGAGCTGCGAACAGTCCTGGATGGCTTCGAAGGCGGCGATCTGCAGATTCCATGCCTTTCTTGCATGCACATATGCACGTCTTTGTCTACATATATACCTATGTCTGTACATAAGCACATATATGTATATACATATGTACATTATATGTATACATGTGTCTCTGTGATCGCACCTGTACGTGTATATGTATATATGTGTATATAGGTATGTATGTATGTATTTTTGTATGTATTTGTGTATGTATGTATGCATGTATGTATGTCAGTTCATATATGCATATATGTACAACCGCATATTATATGTGTTAATGGTTGTATGCGTCTTTTGCATTTAACAGGGCTGAGGCTTGACTTCGGCAGTTGAGGGTTTGCGGTTTCGGGTCGCAGACTTCTGGGACTGTCGAGGTCAGGGCTTTAGGGTTTAGGGTTTTAGGGTTTAGGGTTTAGGGTTTTAGGGTTTAGGGTTTAGGGTTTTAGGGTTTAGGGTTTATGGTTTAGTACCGAATCTCTCAAAGTTCTTTCGGGGCTTGCTAGGTTCCTAAGAAGCCCCTTGATAATAAGGGTGCCCTTTTTCCTTTACTGTTTTAACCCCAAGGGTCCAAAGGACCCAATAATCAGGTACTCGGCTTTAGGATAGTAGTTATGTAGGCTAGGATCTGGGAGAGTATATGATTATCGGGTACTTGGACCCTTGGGGTAAGAAGGACACACCAAAATCAGGAACCTAGTTTCGTGAAGGCCTTACAGGGTGGAAACAGTTTCATGCGGTTTGATCGGGATTTAAGCGAATTTTTCGATGTAGAAGGTGTCATCGGTTTGGGGGGGTAATGTTATAAAGACGTTGGATGGTAACATCGTCGAAATTTCGGAGGCCATGTGTTTAGAGAAAGCCTCCTCGTTACATGGGATCGCAGTTTCGGATTCATTATCAGCTTGCAAGGGGTTTAGGGTTTAGGGGTTTAGGGTTTAGGGTGGAAAATTTAAGGTTAGGGTTTGACTTAGACTCTACAGAGCGGAAAGTTCAGGATCTAGGTTTTGGGGGCTACCTAGAGTCTCCATTGTAGTTCCTTTTTTTGATAAACCAGTTTTATGGCTAGGACTCTATAATAAAGATTTTGGCTAACTCCCAAAAGGAACTACAATGGAGACTATAGGTAAGGTTCAAGCTTCAAAGTCTGGGGGTTCAGGGCCGGATCTCACGGTGAAGGGCTCGAGAAACAAGACTCTTTACGCGACATGGGTAGTTGTCAAAATTATGATCCCTTTTTAGGTACCCTGAATATTAGGTGCCGTATTCTACAACAGGGACCATAATTTTGACAACCACCCACATGGATTCAGGCTTAGATATTTCGCCCTAAAAGTCAAAACTGCCCCCCAACACCCTGCTCCCTTAAATCCTAAACCAGTATCGCGGTAAATTGCTGAGGCCCGCCACCCACTTGCGGGGCTCTGTCAAGGGTGGACGGGCATTCCTCAGCCAGGCGTTGGAATTTTTTGGTTTTCTTCTAGGCTCCCTTGTTTCTAATTTGTTAAACCAGTTTTATGGCTGGGATTCGGGCCCTGTATAAGGCTACCCAAAAATAGGTAGGCTAGGGTTGAGGCTTCAGGGACCTGGTACTTGGAAGGGCAGGGGACTTAGTAAGTAGGTTATAAGTAGAGTTATAAGAAACCTAAATGGAGTTACCCCAATTATAACCCTACTTATAACCTACTTACAAAGTCCCCTGCCCCTCCAAGTAAGGTTCTTGATGGGACTCTGATTGGGCTTATAAGTGGGTGGTTGTCAAAATTATGGTGCCTTTTTTGGTAGCCGAAATACTCGGTGTCGTATCATGGTAGGGGCGCAAAAAGGGACCATAATTTCACAACGTCACTATCAACACCAGGCTACTACACTCATCGCCCGAGTTGCCAAAGCCCATGTTCATTGAATCAAATGGGAAAAGGAGGGACCCTTAATGGGGACCCCTACGCCATAATTGGCTATATAGTGGGTATATACTAGCTATATTAAAGGTATATACCTAAGGGTCCTTATTAAGGGTCCCTCCTTTTCCCCTTTGATTGACGTGTGCGAGGCACCTCTGGCCACAAAACACAAGCTCACAAACCCTTAAACCCTGAGCTCTAAAAGCCCAAATCCTTCACCTTCTTGGCAGTGGTGGGTGCTTAAAATGCTTAAAATGACCCCAAAGCCTGGATTCACAAGCCTGAAAATCTGGGTCCCTTGTTTACAGCTCAACGCTACTCTGTCCTTCATCCGAAACCGGAAATCCTAGAGCCCTAGAGGCTAACATACACCAGGCACCCACGCCCCAAAACCTTCATCCTGAAACACAAAACCGAACAGTTGGATCTATGTAATGCAGAATAGACATACATAAGAGAGTATGTATTATACAGAAGTTGTCATACAATTCATGTATGTACGTATGAATACATGTACGTTACTCCAGCCCTAATTCATTCAAAAAGAAGATCGTGAGCGACTAAACGAGAACTGATCCATGACAATGCGGGGTTCTGCACTGGAGTCTCTGAATGCGGGAACACAATTTTGAAGCAGGGTTTGATTCTTTTAGCACTACATGGGAGTTTCCAAAAATTACGGGTACCTTTTTGGGGGCCTCCATAATAAGGATCCTACTATTTAGGGCACCCTATTAGGATCCTCCATTTTCGGAAACTCCCATATGACTATAATGGCTTTTCGAAGTTCCTGAAACACGCTTCTGAAGTAGGAGTCTTTTGCACGATGTGGGAATCTCTAAGTTTCGGAAACATAAGTTAGAATTCCCATTTTCAGGAATATGCCGGAGTCTGAAAGTTTCTATCGAATTGTCAAAGCTTCTGAAGCACGACTTTGAAGTAGGACTGTTTGGTACTGGATGCAAGTTTCAGAATAAGGGTCTGGGCAAACAGCTCTCGAGCCCAAGTTTCCTCCACCCTACACCCTAGACGGTAAACCCTGAACCCTTGACACCTACACCCTAGGGTAGACGAAAACCAACGCTGAACCCGAGACCCTAAACCCAACACCAAGTGGCGAAGCCAACCCACGAAGCTGCAGAGTGGAGGCCAACTCTGAGCCAGACAACAGATCCTTCCCATGGGCTTTTCTGGGTTTAGGGTGCCTTTAGAGAGATCCTTTACGGGTTCCTTTTTGGGTTGTTGGGTTTAGGGTGCCTTTAGAGGGATCCTGTTCTTCAAGGGGTTCCTTCAAAGGGATCTCGTGTCGGATCGAGGGTCGCAGGATCTTACTACGGTTGATGATATAAATCCTGCATTACCCATAATAAGGAATATACCATAATTCCCATAGTTTAGGGTCCTTAAGGTAATGCAGGATTTATATCATCAACCGTAGTATGTATGAGGTTGGGTTGTAAGGATTTAGCAGTTTTCTGCAAGTTATTTAAAGCATTGCTTCAGGGTTTTCGCAGCCAAGCGACGCGGCTCAGTCTTCATTGGTAAGGGCTTGGATTTCGGATAGTAGTTATGGGGGGTGCTTGGACCCTTCGGGTATTGGTAAGGGTTCTATCCAGATCGCTTTTGGGTTCCGGGTTTGAGCGTTCTCATTGCATCGTGGCTGTTCCTGGAGAGGCTGTAGGTTTGGAGTTGGGACAATCCTAAACCTCAACCCTAAACCCTAAGACCCTATAAGCCGCTTGAACTGCACAGACCAAACCCACAACTTTCGAGATCTTTCCTTGCCAGGGGAAGCCTTTTTGGGGCTTCTTCTCTGTCACGGCTACTTCTTTAAGGGTTTCGGCTTCGTTTCAGGGTTCAGGATTCAGGGCTCAGGGTTCAGGATTTCGGATTTCCCGTTCGTTCAGGGCTTCAGGTTCAAGCTTCGGAGATTCGGGGCACCGTAGCATGTATTATTACATGACACCTGTCACGAGATCCTCTATGCTCATTATCTTGGCGCTTGCTTTGGGGCTTTGCTTACAGCACGCTAGACTCGCGAATCTTACTTCGAGGTTCATGGGACTTACTAGGTACGGTTATTATAAGTAAGGTAACTATATAATATAATAGTCATACCTACTTATAACCCTAATTAAGGTACTTATAACCCTACATACTAAGTCCCATGAGCCTCTAAGTAGGAATTTCCCAAGCTCCAAGGCGAGCCCTGTTGCCCTGAGTCCCAAAGCCTTCCCTAAACTTTAAACCTAGGATTCTGAGCAACCTAGGAATAAACGAGGGCTCCCTTTTTGGTGTTGGGTAACTTTACAAGGAACCTACTGCTACAAAAAGGGAATAAGGGTACTATTGGGCATTCTAAAAACCCTCTGAACCCTTACCCGGAAGAACCGAACCCTAAACCCTAAACCCTAAATCCTAAACCGCAAAAGTGATGGGTGAACGCTAGTGGCCCAGGCGCCTGCACCAAGCCGGCCGTTGGCCCTGCGCAGTGTCTCCGTCATGAATCATTGACAAAAGACTTACAAAGCAGAAGCTGGGAAGGCAGTATGTAAAACAAGCGTTTTTTTTCGCCATGATAGCCGTTAAACCCCAAACTCAAATTACCCACTGAAGCCTACAGTACAGCCTGCCTCTTTTTCGCGGGGGTCACGGAGAAACGTAGGAGTTTCCTTCTTCTGCCAACTTTACGGATGACGGATTAAGCGAGCTGTCGCGGAGCCTGCAGAAACTTGAGCCCTGAAGTCTGGAGGACGCCCCAGAAAGCTGAAGGTAGGGTTTAGAGTATGGGGCTTCAAGTCTAAGGGGCTAGGACCTAGAGTAGGCCCGTATTCCCTTTTTTGGGGGTTCAGGTTCCCTTATAAGCCCCTTTAAACCAAAAAGGGCACCCTTTTTATTCCTAGGCTACTCTTGGGTCTAGGGGGAGAATACTACCAGACATATGTGTAATGTAGTATACTCATTGAACTACTACGAACAAGGCCGACCAGAAGACGGATAGCAGTCGATGCACCTGCAAGTGGATCACATCGAGACATCATTTACTTCATGTTAGCTGTAAACTTCACAGCTCCGACAAATATCCATATCTACGGTTCCATATCAACACAATAGGGGATATTCAGCAGTATCCCAAGCCCTAAACCCCAAATGGACCCTAAGCCCTAAAAACACACCCTAGATCGGTACCTACTAACTCTTGTCCACTCCAGGAAGATGCCACGTCCAGCGCTACTGCCCCTCGGAAGCATGTTAGAGCAGCTAGTGCTGAGCATTTTTGAGGGTTTGGGTTCTATGTTTTGTTTTAGGGTTTGCGCTTGTGGTTTTAGGGTTCAAGGCGCTGCAAGATCTGCAGTATCCTGTCCCTTAGAAGTAATGGTAGCCTTCACATGAAACACTGGTTGTCTTACATAACACAGTTGAAAACCAATATACCCATAACACTCTCGGCCGAACATCCTAAACGCCTAATCCCCAAACCATAAACCCCCAAACCCTACAAACCCCTAAACACATGTGCTAAAGTCTCCTGCCTGAGTCTGGCACGAAGACCCCTGGGATGAGACCAACCAAGGCATTGCTCAAGGCCTGCGCCTGCCAAAGCTGTTGGGTTTGGGGATTAAGGCTGAAGGCTGAGAGGACCGTTGTGAAGGCACAAATATGATGGCATGCACCCTAAGCTAAGTCACCCCTAAGCGCTTCAACACCTGAGAATGCCAGAAGCTGCTGCACAAAACACAAACCTTAAATGGACCTGTATCAGGGGTCTGCGGTACTGTAGAAACCCCACACAAAACCTTCCAACAACCGGGCATTGAAACCTCTAAACGCCCTCACCCCACAGCAATCTAAATTCCTAAACCCTAAACCGTCTTGAAACGAAGGCCTCGCTCTGCGCATCCCTGGCTTCGTTTCTACCGACCAGCACCTGCAGTCGCATTCCTTACCTTTGGTTAGTAGGGAATGGAGGAAGGGGGGTACAATGATAACTATACTAGTACTACTGTTGATGATACAATTCCTGCATTACCCATAGTAAGGAATATACCATATCATAGTTCCCATAGTTCAGGGTCCTTAAGGTAATGCAGGATTTATATCATCAACCGTGCGATTCTCCCATCCCCTACAAACCAAAGGTAAGATTCAGGGTTAGGGTTTCGGCTCTTCCAAGCCGCATGCCGAGAAGTAGAAGGGCCCCGAGTTCAAAAAGGTCGGATTACATAGGACTCAATGATTTACCAAAGATGCGTGTAGTAAGTATACAGTAGAAGGCTAAAAGTTGGAAACCCAATAGCCTCAATCCTTAAGAGTAATGTATAGGGGAATCCCAGCACTGTTTGGCCTTAATCCGGTTTCCAACTTTATGGGGTTTACTGTAATGTAGGAACCTGATTAAGAAACCCTGGGCCTATAACCCCCAAATAGTAGGATTCATCTAAGGAACCCTAATAAAGGCCCAAGGTTTCTTAATCAGGTTCCTACATTATTCGTATACCCAATGCCTAAGCCCCGAAAACCTGGCGCTTCCGTCAGGGGCACAGCCGAGGCCGGCCAGGGCCCAGCAGTTTTCAGGTCGGAGAGCGAGAAGCCGGTGTTTCGGCGCCTTGGGGGTTCAGGGCTCTAGGGTCTATAGGGTCTATAGGGTCTATAGGGTCTATAGGGTTTAGGGGTTTAAGGGTTTAAGGGTTTAAGGGTTTAAGGGTCTATAGGGTTTATGGGTTTAAGGGATGGTTTGAGGGGTTTGGGTTTTGAGTTTAGGGTCTAGAGTTTCTGCGAATTGGGGGATTCAAGGCTCGAGGCTTTAAGAGACTTATAGGGTTTAGGGCAGCTTACCTCAACCTACAAGAACCTACTTTTTTGTCGGGTCCCTTTAAATTCCATATTAGGGTTTATAATAAGAACCCACAGAAAAGTAGGGTTTGGCAGTTTAAGGTACCCATAGGCCCCAAAGTAGTTCCTTTTTGGGATTACCTTATAGGATTCTATATACCAACCCCAAAAAGGAACTACTTTGGGGCCTTAGGGTACCCTTAACCCAAAGGCTCCATGTATCTTTATAGTAGATACTTAAGCCTTCAAGCAGTCCCTACTACAGAACAGTAAGGGTTTGGCAGTTTAAGGTGGGTTGCAGAAAGAGATTATAGGGCTTAAGAGGCGTGGAGTTTCTGCCCGGCCATTGCCTTCCTATGGTCTTTTTTTTGTGGGTATTTGGGGGTTTCCGAAAATAGGGGACCCTAATTTAGTACCCTAAATGATAGGATCCCTATTATAGGGACCCCAAAATAAGGTACCCCCAATTTTCGGAAACTCCCATTTGGGGGATTTATAAGCTTCAAGAGTCCAGGCTCGAGGCTTTATGAGTAGGGCTCAAGCAGGTTTGAGGTTTCGCGCTTAGGGCTTAACAGGCTGACGGTTTAGGGATTAGGGCTTAAGAGGCTTAGGCGGCTAATTTGGCTTTCGAGCTTAGAGTTTCAGAGGCTTGGGGTTCAGGGTTCAGGGGTTAAGTATAGTCTGTCGCTTACAGGTTTAAGGGGCTTAGAGTTTATGGTCTGGAGCTTGGGGGTTTAGGGTTTCGGGTATGCTTGCGAGGCCAAGGTTTTCGAAGGTTGATCTATGGATCGGAAAAGAAGCCAGGCGGCGTCGTGGTATCATCCCGCTGCAGGAACATGATCCTGTGGGCCATGTCCTGGAGCGAGAAGACGTGCTCAATGCGGGTTTAGGGTTTGGGGTTGAGGCCGTCTGAATGCTTAGTTAAACTATTACATAGCATACCCCCAAACCCCATTCTAAACTGGTTCTAAACACTAACCACAAGGAATCCTAAAACCTCCAGGCCGTAAGCGCACACAATAAGCCCAGCAAAAGCATAACTCTTGAACTCCAACAACCCCAAGACTTACCTTTGATTAGTAGGGAATGAAAGAATGGCAGTAATAGCAGATATAAGTGTACCCCATTCCTCCATTCCCTACTACCCTAAACCCTAAACCCTCCTACCCTAAACCCTACTACCCTAAACCCTACACTCCTCCATATAAGAAGAAGCCCCCAAGCCTTGGAAGACTCCAGTCCCCAGAGACTCCAATATCCCTTAATTAAGAAATATTCCTTAAATCATATTAGGAATCCTAATTATAATCCAAGGAGTATTCCTTAATTAGGGGATTTTGGAGTCTCTGGGTCCGCAAGGCTCGCTTCTTCCTCGGTCCAGAGGTCAGGGGACCGAGTCTCTAGGTCATGTGGGAGTTTCCGAAAATTAGGAGTGCCTTTAAAGGGATCCTTTAAGGGTTCCTTAAAGGGATCCTATAAGGGCTCTATAAAGGGTTTAAGGTGTGAGAGTTTCCGAAAATTAGGGGTACCTTTAAAGAGATCCTTTAAGGGTTCCTTAAAGGGATCCTATAGGGGTTCTACAAAGGGTTTAGGGTTTAGGGTTTTAGACTAGAGTTTCCGCAAATTAGCGGTACCTTTTTGGGATCCTTATGATAAGGATCCTACTATTTAGGGTACTATATTAGGGTCCACTATTTTCGGAAACTCCCATGTACAGGTCTGAACTCATACTCCTTACCCTAAGGCTCTAAGGACTCATATGTTAAGGCTTTTGGGCCTAAAGACCATATTATATCAGGCTTTTGGGTCATTTTGAGCCTTAGCTATACATGACATAAATACCATTATAGTCCCGATGTATTTGCAAACAAACGTTTCCCATCCAAACCCTGTTCTAACTTATGAGGTCCCTGACAAAACTTGCAAAGGCACGAATTCTACCACTCAGGCCCCTCAACCCCTCTACCCCTGAAACCCACTACCCAAATATTTAATTGTAGCAGACCCAAACCTAAACCCCAACCCTTCCGTAACAACGCTACAAAAGCCCGAAGCCCCCTTACTTACGGTCCCGAAAGTAATCTCAAAGACATCGGTCCTCCTCCAACCTCAGCCAATCAGCCACAGTCGCAACATCTGCTCCAGACCTTCGCGATATAGGAGGGTCTACACGGCTTTTGAGGGGTTCGGAACAGGGATGTATCGGAGTTTCCTAGGTGCTTGTTGGAGTTGATGGGTTTCCTTATAGGGTTTATCGTGCTTTACAGGATTTTGCAGGGTTCCAGGACCGTAGATTGCCTAACCTTCTTGGGTAGGTCTCTGGAGTTTAGGGCGTTGGGTTCTGGTTGTTGAACGCGTTTTGGGTTGAGGGTGTTGTTGTTGGCTTCTTGCTTAAGGTTTGCGTGTAGGAGTTGTCAGGTGCCCCCGGAATATCCTCTTCAGGGTCTGTAGTACAGGTGTCGTCGGGCGGGTTAGAGTAGATCTGTACGGTTGTAGATGGGAGTGCTAGGTAGGATTGCGAGCTGGACTTTGTGCTCTAGTCCTTGCGAGGCGTCACTCCATCACAGGAGATAGTCAGATTGGGCAGAGACAATGTAACCCTTGGACCTAAAATATAACTACGAGTAACTTGCTTAAGAACCCGCTGAGATTGTACTTTGGACAAGAACATAGTTTCCAAAAACACCCCGAGTAGTGTTGAAGTAATAATGAGTCCTAAACCCTAATGCAACCAAGGATGCAGGACTTGAAGTTTGGGTGCCTTTCCTGCGTCGAAACTAAACCACTGCATTGCCTACTACTACAGCCCAACAACTTTATGTATATAAGGAACTGAATTTAAAGGCATCTGGCAACTGGTGCTTGCGGATTGCTGGTGTTGGCTTCGGCCCCAGAAGCGGTATGAACCCAAACACCCATATCGGTTTAGGGTTTAGGGTTTACAACCTATAGCGAGCCTTTACACCCAGCGGCCGCCCGAGGCCTATACGCCCTCGACCTTATGCCCGAAACCTCAGACCCCAAACCTACCCATAGGCCCCAAAGTAGTTCCTTTTTGGGAGCACCTTATCAAATTCTATATATGAACCGCAAAAAGGAACTACTTTGGGGCCTTGGGGTAAACCATAATACCGACTAGACCCTAAACACCCCCTGGTTCTTAGTGGAGGGAATGGGTTTTGGGGGCTAACATGAGGACTCTCAAGGGACCATCATAGGCATCCATTAAAGCTAAACCCTTCAGCCCGCCATAAAACGCATCTGAGCCCCCGTCTCGACCAAGAGTGTATAAAGATCCTCTTGCGCCACAGGCAAAGGGCAGTCCTCGATGGCTCTGGGCAGTCTTCTTCCCAGAGACTCCAATATCCCTTAATTAAGGAATATTCCTTAGATTATAATAGGATCCCTAATATGATTTAAGGACTATTCCTTAATTAAGGGATATTGGAGTCTCTGGGTTGTGTGCAGTATTAGAGCACCTAGCACATTACCTTGCCGACTGACTCTAGTGGCTACGCTGTGGATTGTAATTAGTAGTTTTGGGAGGCCAAAAAATATCAAATGCAACATTGAAGGTTCCACGAAAGACCCGTCAAGCCTAGACACTTAAACCCATACGTAAATGAACTGCAAATCGTAAATCCTGGGCACAAATAGGGCTTATGTCATGAAGCCCTACCGAAAAAAAAACATAAGCCCGAAAGCCCTGAACTAGGAATACTGACCATCGACATCCTATGCGCAAGCCCTGACCTCCGACCAACTGCAAATTTGTTACATGATCGAAGGGTGAAATAAAGGATGATCGATATATGTATGCATGCATGCATGCATGCATGCATGCATACACGCATGCATGGATGTATGTTTATTATGTGTATGTGTATCTGTATCTGTATATATATATATATATATATATATGGATATGGGCATGTGGGCATGGGCATGGGAATGCGTATGGATATAGTACAAACACATTTCTGTATGAGTCGTTGATTATGTTCGTACTTCGTGCTATTTACAGTTACTGATGACTCGGTGAATGCGTATGGATATAGTACAAACACATATCTGTATGAGTCGTTGATTATGTTCGTACTTCGTGCTATTGACAGTTACTGATGATTCGGTGAAAGGATATTGGGCTCTTTGGGTCCTCCGCCCCACAACCCTACAACGCTAAACCCTACTTGGAGGGTAAGGGGGCTTAGTAAGTAGGTCATAAGTAGGGGTATAATTGGGGTAACTCCATTTAGGGTACTTATAGCTCTACTTATAACCTACTTACTAAGTCCCCAGCCCTTTCAAGCATGTGGGCTCACTCCCAGCCTCCAAGAGTAGCCGTGTGCTGAGATAGATGGAGTCAAAGAGGGGGTTGACGGACGGGCCTGGGTCTAGTTTTTTGGGTTTAAGGCTTATAGGGTCTATAGGGTGTCAAGAAAGTCTAGAAGGACTGGGTTCAGGGGTGTTTCCAGTTTCGGACCTACAGGGTTTTGGCTTCCAGTTTCCACAGAGCTTGGACATTCGACCTACCGCTTGATCTTCATGTTCTGGCATATTTGACCCAGAGTAACTATAGACTCAACTGTGAGCTCCAGGGCGAGGATTGGCCCTAAATTAAATCCCAAACCCTGGACCCTAAGCCCTAATCCCCTAACCCCAAACCCTAACCTCTAAATGTGGGTCTACAACCTTTGAACCGCAAATCTTTCAAGGTTGAAGACTGAGACCTCCCAACAACATGGAACCTTATGAAACCCTCATAGACGCCTTTGGCAACCCTGTACCGCCTATACCTATACATAGTTGCTGAGATGATCAGACCGCGCCACGGTGTAGGGTTTAGGGTTTTGAGGGACCCTGTTTTTCATTGGAAGATCTGTCACAGCGCGGTAAATAGGGAGACTGTCTGGTTCTTAGTAGGGAATGGGGGAATGGGTTACGTGATTACAGAGACGATTAGTGGGAATTATATAGGGACTACTATACTATACTTGGAGGGGCAGGGGACTTGTAAGTAGGTTCTAAGTAGGGTTATAATTGGGGTAACTCCATTTAGGGTACTTATAACTCTGCTTATAACCTACTTACTAAGTCCCCTGCCCTTCCAAGTAGGGATCGATTCCCCCATTCCCTACTAAGCGCCAGACAAGAGAGTAGTGAACCCAAGCTGATGCCAAGGAGCAGGTTCCACAGCCGAAGCCGGCCAAACACATCTGGCCTGCGCAATCTGCTAACTTAAGAGGCTGAGCGCTTAGGGTGTAGGGTTTACCAGCACCCCCGAACTACCCCTTATTGGAGCCTAAGTACCCACTGATAAGGACCATAAGGCCTTTATTGACAAAAGGTACCTAGGGGGTGCTGGTAGAGATAGGCCTTCGGGTTTAGGCTTTAGGGTGTACGCCCCTCTACAAGTTGGCCAAGTCGGGTAGGGGATATGCTTGTCGAAGCGCATGCTCATGCCCTTTGCAGGGTCCTAATGTGGGCAGAGAGAAACACGTCAATTTCAATCGGGTATAGCCTTGAAACCCAGAGACCAAGCGACCAACAGAGTCACCCTGTCACACTCCCTGCGCCAGAAACTCTGAACCGTAAACTGCTATAAACAGCAGACCCATCATGACCCATCCCGAAGGATGTGAAGCCCTGAGCATCAACACATGGTGTCTAAATTCCTACGATGCTGGGAGGGTCAAGTGTTTCAATTTCTGCGCCTCTGGAACGAAGGCTCTATACAATCCCAGCGTAGAACCGACTTGGGTGGAGCCCTAGACAAACGACTCCCTTCGCCTTAATCCGCCGAGGCCACAGGCCCAGGCGTCTTGCGGGTTAGCTCAGGTTCCCCCCCTCCCCCCCCCTTCCGCCCCCCTGCCCCGCCCTCCCCCCCCTCCCCTACCCATTCCTCGCACTTCGTATCAACAATCGGGTTTGACAGGCCGCCCTAGCATAAAAAGACATCGACTGCCCCCTCACCCTGCCGCTACACAGTTAAAATTAAGGGTTGGGGTTTATGGTTTAAGGAATTCAGGAATATGCGGGCTTCGATACGGAATAAACCAGCATCCACCCCCGGACGTGATACTGTGCCTGTGGGGTCATACCCATCTAACCATGTAGGTTCCAAAAAAAGGGGTAGGGTATGACCCTATAGGTAACAGAATGTTGCTAAGACTTTAGTACTTGGAAGGGCAGGGGACTTAGTAAGTAGGTTATAAGTAGAGTTATATAAGTTATAAGTACCCTAAATGGAGTTACCCCAACTATAACCCTACTTATAACCTACTTACTGCCCCTCTAGGAGATCGGTACTCCTAGAATCCTCCCTGCGTTGCACCGGAAACCTTAAAAGCCTTATAAAAACCCTACCCTGACCCAACTACTCTCAATCAGGCCCGATGCTAGCTACCTACTATTCCGGACCATAGGGGTGCTATTAAAGTGCACTTGCGGGGTCTTTGTAAACCCTAAACCCCCAGAGACTCGAATATATCCCTTAATTAAGGAATATTCCGTAAATCATATTAGGGCCGATCCTAATTATAATCACGGAATATTCCTAAATTACTGTAAGGGATATTGGAGTCTCTGGGCCCCCTCCACCCGAAAACATCGCCGTTTCAGCCACCACACCGGCCTGCCCCACCCACCAGGACGCCACCGCCAGAAAGCGAGCCATGGGTGAAGAAGCCAGCGGAATACCATGGCCTCCGGAACTCTTGAACGGCTTCGGGTTTAGAGTAGAGCCTAATCCCGAAAACCATGAACCCTGCACCTCCAAACCCTGACCGACAAGGGGGTTGGTGTTAGGGCTTTAGGGTAGAGGATACAGTTACACAGTATACAACTGCTTGAGGCTTTGGGTTCAGGGGCATGGCTCTGGGGGTATGTGGGGGCCTTCATAAATTCAAAGGGGAACAGGAGGGACCCTTAATGGGGACCCCTACCCTATGATGGGCTATATAATGGGTATATAGTGGCTCTATTAAGGGTATATACCTAGGGGTCCTTATTAAGGGTCCCTCCTTTTACCCTTGGATAAGTTGAAAGGCTTATAACCGCTTTGCGCTTCAGTCAGGGAGATGGTCCGATCTTCAACTCACGCGTAGCAGTCTCGGTTTGGGGCCTGAACCTCAAAAGCTCATCCCAAAATCCCAAACACATGACCTTAAGTTAGGCCCCAAATCATATAAACCCCAAAACCGCGAAAACCTTCGTTCATCCTTTTCGGTGGCCTGGAGCTGTAGGCATCCGTGGCCTGAAAGGAGCTGCCGGGGGTTTGGAGTCACGGGCCTGAGGGGTTCGCAGTAGAAGACGCAAAGTTGGAAGATCATGATCCCCCAAGGGTCCAAGGACCCGATAATCATATACTCTCCCAGATCCTAGCCTACATAACTACTATCCTAAAGCCGAGTACCTGATTATTGGGTCCTTTGGACCCTTGGGGATCCTCATGCCCCTAAGGAAGAGCCCGGAGACTCCAATATCTCTTAATTAATTAAGGAATATACCTTTATAAATTATAGCATGATCCTGAATATGACTGAAAGGATATTCCTTAATGAAGGGATATTGGAGTCTCTGGGAGTATAGGGAATCCTAGCACCAATCATCGTTAATCCATGTTCCAACTTTCTGAGGTTCACTGCAGGGAAATCGGCTTAATTCGAGTTTCACAGCACCCTAAGTACCCTTTACTAGAGGCCTGGTGGTCCTGATTAGGTACTTAGGCTCCAATACGGGGCAGTTGGGGGGTGCTGGAAGGGACATCGGTTTAATTAAGGTTTTGGGTTTGGGGTGGTTCCTAAGTTCTTGCGTGATTCAGGCTCAGTGTTGTGAATTCCCTACAGTTGCTGGTCCATCACCATTCACGTTGAATATTCAGCCTGGGCAGTTTCACGCTGTTTGTCCAGCTAATAACTGCCGCGTCGATTTTTTCTGCATTCTCATGTCATTTACTTCAAGCGTGCTCCTAGGCTTGTTTTCGGCATTCAGAACAATGTCTGCCTTGTGTTCGACACTTTTGCTCAGCACCGTAATCGGTGAAGGCATGTAACCCAACTAGCGATGTCCTAAGTCATCGCGCGGTGCTCCGCAAAACAACAGCCACGGTATCAACTGCTCCTACACCGGTCCTACACCAGCCTTTCACGGTTACCATAGACCCTAAAAGCCCCAAGTCTTACTAACTCCATTCCAAAGGCTCCGCACAGCCCTGGCACTCGACTTCCAGGTACCTAGCCATTGATATAAGGGCCTTGATAAACAGAATAAGGTTCTAGGACACAAAGCGTTGTGGTTATACTAGACCTTAACCTCCCAAACCCTACTTTTTTTGTAGGGTCCCTATAAACTTCATACTAGGGTTCCTATAAACTTCATATTAGGGTTCACAATAAGAACCTACAACAAAGTAGGGCTTGGTAGGTTCGGGAAGACGGTAGGTCAGGCTACCAAGCAAAGCTCTACAATCGACCCGCAACCCCTGAAGGCCGCTCAGTAAACCCCACGGGTCCATGTATGTATATATATATATATATATAGATGTACTACCATTATGGAATTAGGTCATCTTAAAGATGGTCTTTTGGGACCTAATTCCATAATGGTAGTGTATATGGACCCTCTGGGGAAGAAGACGATGCCTGGAGGTTGAGAACCTGCTTCTTGAGGTCTGTCATGCTCCGAAGTAGCTCCTCTGTGGGCGTCGCCTGCGGCTCAGGCTTCTCTTTTCTACTCCCAAAGGGTCCTAGGTAGTGTCATGGAGGATACTTCCCCAGATCATGATAGTAGCTCCTAACATGGAAACCCTACATTCCACTTTCTAGCTACTTAAGACCCGGATCCTCTAACCGCAAGGCACTACTTGGAAGGGTAGGGGACTTAGTAAGTAGGTTATAAGTAGAGTTACAAGTACCCTAAATGGAGTTACCCCAATAAATTATAACCCTACTTATAGCCTACATACTAAGTCCCCTGCCCCTCCAAGTACTGCTCCATGTGCCCATACTGTGCAACCGTAGGTCTCGAAGTCCTAGATCGGTTCTTTCAGGCTACGTACTAGGATACCCAGTAACCTAAGAATAAAAAGGCCTCTCTTTTTGGTATTGGGTAACTTTATAAGGAACCTAGGGCTACAAAAAGGGAATAAGGGTACTACTGGGCATCCTAGTCTACACTACGTGGTCCATGGAGCCTTTGGGCAATGCAGTTTCAGATTGGGGGCTGCCCATTCTAACCGTTTTAGGGTTTCAAGGTTTATGGATTGAGGATTCGGGACTTCAGCAAAAACCGACAGAACAGCTGCCTTGAAAGATCCATATAGGATCGATGCCTCATGGCAGAAGAGCAGAAAATCTTCACGGTTTAGGGTTCGGGAGTTTAGGGGTTTGCGTTTTAGGATGGTTTAGGGGCTTAGGGTTTGGGGCTATGCTCCCAAAGCTTGAGACAAGCTGCAGGGCTGAGGGTGTATAGCGGGCCCCTAAACCCTAAACCTGAAGGCCCTAAAGGCAAGGCTTCGAGGTGAAGATTTACGGGCTGAGAACCCTGGGCTGAGTGAAGCAAAAAGCAAGCCTAAATAAAGCCTACGTTTTACAATGAACCCCAGCCCTAAACCCCAACCCAAGCCCTTGAACCCTAAACCCTAAACTCAGAATCCCTACAGAAGCCCTGATATTTATGGAACCCTTATAGAACCCCTACAGAACCCGTAACCCCAATATGGTACCCTGAATACTAGGGTCCTGATTATAAGCTCCCTTATAGAACCCCTACAGTGCCCTACAGCCCCAAACCCCAAAGCCCTAAACCCCTAAACCCCGAAGCCCCGAAGCCCTAAACCCCTAAACCCCGAAGCCCTAAACCCCTAAACCCCAAAGCCCTAAACCCCTAAACCCCTAAACCCCGAAGCCCCGAAGCCCTAAACCCCTAAACCCCGAAGCCCTAAACCCCTAAACCCCGAAGCCCTAAACCCCTAAACCCCAAAGCCCTAAACCCCTAAACCCCTAAACCCCGAAGCCCCGAAGCCCTAAACCCCTAAACCCCGAAGCCCTAAACCCCTAAACCCCGAAGCCCTAAACCCCTAAACCCCAAAGCCCTAAACCCCTAAACCCCTAAACCCCGAAGCCCCGAAGCCCTAAACCCCTAAACCCCGAAGCCCCTAAACCCCTAAACCCCGAAGCCCTAAACCCCTAAACCCCAAAGCCCTAAACCCCTAAACCCCGAAGCCCCGAAGCCCTAAACCCCTAAACCCCGAAGCCCTAAACCCCTAAACCCCGAAGCCCTAAACCCCTAAACCCCAAAGCCCGAAGCCCTAAACCCCTAAACCCCGAAGCCCCGAAGCCCTAAACCCCTAAACCCCGAAGCCCTAAACCCCAAAGCCCTAAACCCCTAAACCCCGAAGCCCTAAACCCTAAACCCCTAAACCCCGAAGCCCTAAACCCCTAAACCCCGAAGCCCTAAACCCCTAAACCCCGAAGCCCTAAACCCCTAAACCCCAAAGCCCGAAGCCCTAAACCCCTAAACCCCGAAGCCCCGAAGCCCTAAACCCCTAAACCCCGAAGCCCTAAACCCCAAAGCCCTAAACCCCTAAACCCCGAAGCCCTAAACCCTAAACCCCTAAACCCCGAAGCCCTAAACCCCTAAACCCCGAAGCCCTAAACCCCTAAACCCCGAAGCCCTAAACCCCTAAACCCCAAAGCCCGAAGCCCTAAACCCCTAAACCCCGAAGCCCCAAAGCCCCGGCCTCAAAGCTCATCGCGCCACCAGCGAGAAGATGGCACAAGTTGCGGGGTACCGGGTCGTCCTCCTGCAGTGCCTGGACTTGTAACTTGTAAAGAGTAATAAAGCATAGGAATAAGATAATAATAGTATGGTGTGTATATATATATATATAAGTATATAGTATAGTAATAAGATAATAGTAGTACAGTATATATTATAGTATATAGTATAGTAGTAAGATAATAATTAATAATAGTATAGTATATTATAGTATATAGTATAGTAATAGGACGATTACGTAGGCCTTACCGCCAGGAGCTAGGAGCCAAAGGACCCACACATTAGGCACCTGGAGGTTGAGGATCATAATACTTCGGTTGAGTATTGGTGGGAATATCTGATCATTACGAACTTGGACGGCTTCTCGGTTTGCCTATGGCCTATGACTTTTGTTCTGTATAAGCTTTTCAGGCATTCAAGGTTTAGGGCTCAAGGCTTTTGAGGGCCGTGAGATTTGTTGTTCTTTCAAACTCTAAACCCTAAAGGCGAAACCCTAAACCCTGAATCCCTATAGAGCCCTTTAAGGGACCCCTTCAAGGGACCCAAGTAGCGGCAGCTCCTTGGCACTTTCATCATTTCAGGGTGAACCCCAAGGGTCCAAAGGACCCAGTAATCAGGTACTCGGTTCTAGGATAGTAGGTATGTAGGTTAGGATTTGGCCCTAAACCCTAAACCCTAAACCATGATTATTGGGTCCTTGGACCCTTGGGGTAACTTCCGTCCTGCTTGGGGTTTAGCTCCGGGGGGCTCTCGAGTCGAAGATTTGGGAGTATCCGAAAAGAGATCCTTTAAGGGTTCCTTTTCAAGGGACCCTATAGGGGTTCTACAAAGGGGTTTAGGGTTTAGGGTTTTAGACTAGAGTTTCCGAAAATCGGGGGTACCGGATTTTGGGGTCCCTATAATAAGGATCCTACTATTTAGGGTGCCATATTAGGGTCCCCCCATTTTCGGAAACTCCCATTTCGCCTAGGCTAAAACCCCTGCAAAGCAAAGCTGCTCTAGTTTTTTTTTCACGCTTGAAAGCACAAGGCCGACGGCTCGCGATGAGGGTGTCCATGATGACGGGTTTATGTAGGGGTTTCGGGGAGTCTAGGATCATCTAGGCGGTTGGTAAAACCTTCCAGGAATGGCACACCGGGGAAACAGTGAATTATACCCCCCCCGAGACAGCCTCTAACATGAATGAAATGAGCATCCTGCTGAAGCGCGAAAAACAGGTGGGAGTTTCCGAAAACAGGGGACCCTAATATAGTACCCTAAATAGTAGGATCCTTACTATAAGGACCCCAAGATATGGTACCCCTAATTTTTCGGAATCTCCCACGCCTCAAAACACAGGCTTCCTACATTCCTGGCCTTCTCCAAGCTCTTGAAGTCCAACATTGAGAAAATGTCTTTCTTTGCCTTCCCTCCTGACCTCGCTTCAGGGTATAGGGTTTAGGGGTTTAGGGTTTAGGGGTTTAGGGGTTTGTATGGGAGGCGAGGTGTCACCGGGGGAGGGGGGGGGTGCAGGATGGATGTCGTTTTGCCGGGCTTGCGATGCTATAGGCTATAGGATTGTTCCCCCTTCCTGTAGAAGCTTACCACTCCAGTCTGGGGCTTGGTTGCAGGCTTTGCGAATTCGCGGTCCTCAGGGTTCAACCACAAAGCAAACAACGCAACAGTCCACACACACTTCAGCAAGCCTCAAACTTGAATCTCTACACTCTAAACATCGAAATCCTGGCAGCCCAGCTTCATCTGAACTCTGCAGCCAGAAATCCAGAACCCTGGAAGCCCAACACCCCACCACTTAAACCATGACAATTAACAGGAAGCCCCAAGCCCTAACCCTCCAAACCCCCACCAGAGAACACGAAAACACACAATTTCCCTGTACCATAAACCACCCAACGCCACTTCCAGAACTCGAACCCCCCATAGATCCGAGATGCTCTTGAAGCTTAAGCTCCTGAGCTTGTTTAAAGGGCTCCTTTTCCGGGTTCCTGTAAGGATTCTATAGCCGTTCCTTCCAGGTTAAAAGGGGTTCACTACGACTTCGGGGTTCCTGCGGTTTTTTCGGGTTCCATAACTTGGAAGGGCAGGGGACTTAGTAAGTAGGTTATAAAGTAGACTTATAAGTACCCTAAATGAAGTTACCCCATTTATAACCCTACTTATAACCTACTTACTAAGTCCCCTGCCCCTCCAAGAAGGCTGTAGATAAGTCTTAGGACTTAGGATTCTGATGGTTAGGGCGTGGGGGCTTGTTGAGCTTGGGACACAGAGTGTGGTTCGGACCACACGGCTTTTCGAGCAGAGTTCGGTCTTTACCCCGTTTGCTGAGTCGCAGAGGGATCTGGAGATCTCAATGTACCTAGATGCTCCATAGTAGTTCCCATTTATGATTCATATTTCGAAGCCTATAGAGAAATCTCAAAAAGGAACTACAATGGAGCCTATGGGTAGGGGCAATAAAAACTGGAAAAGGCGGGTAGGGTATGTTGCAGGAATGTATTTAAAAGGGACTAAAACACGGTGTTATTGGTAATTATCCGCGCCCCCATCATAAAGGAAGTGCGACAATCCTGCACTAGCTCTTCAACTGCAGCTCCTCTTGCAACAGGTGGCTGCTGCAGCCGCTCTAAACCCGACTCCCCCAAAACACAAAAGCTTCTGCCCATAAAGGGAACTCCAGAAAGTTGGAATATGGATTAATGGTAGGATCCCGATAATTTACCTTAAAGGGGTTACGATAATGATATTCCAACTTTCTGGCTTCTGCCCATAGATGTTCGAATCCCACTCCACCTAAAGGAGAGTTGAAACACTATCATCCTCATGCCCTTAAGGCAACCTACAGGGAGGTGTAGCATGCATCAGGGTTTTCTTGTTCCAACTTTCTGAAGTTTGTTGCAGTACATGATTCGCGTGCTATGTCGAGTCCTATCACTATGTCACCAGAACCCAAAAGTAGGGTCAGGCCGTCATCACTGTCCACCTCCGTGTTACGAACTTCCACCGCTTCGCAAGAGTCAAAGAAAAACAACATGGAGCCTTCCAATGTGGCTCTTAAAAGCGGTAGGCTCATTGATCAGCGGTCTGCAGCATGGGATGCAGGATGCAGGGTCCAGCAATTCCATCGAAGCTAGAAGCTAGCTGCCCTATGGAATCGCAGAGCATGGACCCTAAATGACCCTAAGCCCGAAACCCTGATGACCCTAAACCGTACTTGGAGGATCATGGGACTTAGTAAGTAAGGTTCTAAGTACCTTAATTGGGCTTATAAGTAGTTATAAGTATAGTTACCCTAAGTATAACCCTAGTTACTAAGTCCCATGATCCTTGAAGTATATTCTAGGACCCTTATAGTATCCCTTATGGTATCCCTTACAGTAGCCCTTTTAAAGGAACCCAAGAAACCCGAGTTACTAAGTCCCATGATCCTTTAAGCAGACCCTGAACCCTAGATCCCCAAGCCTTCTTGCTGCGGCCGACGGTGCCCTGGGAATGTGCCTGTCTTGCAGCCTCATCCTCCTTAGATATAGAGCACAAAGATCCGGGATGGGATCTTGGAGTTCATGGAATCAGGGCTTAGGGTGTAGGGTTTAGGGTTAAGGGACCTAGGGTGTAGGCTTGGGGTTTAGGGCTCATGGATTGAGGGTTTGGGTTTGGGGTCAGGGTATACCTGTGGATCCGAAATAAAAAATGTCTTGCGGGTTAGACCCCCCCATGGTCCAGGTCATGTTGTCGGGTTTGTGTCCACGGGTAAGGTTTATGCTTAGGGATACAGTTAGTCCCTATGCTCGAAGTCCCTAAACCCACATAAACTGCAAGACCCCAAGCCCTGGCCCCTTTACCAACACTTCGGTACCTTAAACCCCAAATCCCCAACTCAAATTAAGGGTTAAGTCATTCGGGGTAGCCGAGAAGGAAGAGTCCAAATCCAACCATTATTCTACCATGAGGCCTAGCCTGCAGACTGCCAGAAAGATAATCAAAGCCCAAAAGGCTGATAATACCAAGCACCATAGTTCTTGTTGAAGTATATTCCGTAACTAAGGGTGATGGGCTCTCTGCCCAGAGACTGCAATATCCCTTAATTAAGGAATATTCCTTAAATCATATTAAGGATCCTGCTATAAGTTAAGGTATATTCTAGTATATTCCTTAATTAAGGGATATTGGAGTCTCTGGGTGGGTATCAGAGACCAAGGTGCAGATACTCGTCCGATACCCAAAGCATCAAACAAGCCTAACCTAGGGGTTTAGTAAGTAGAACAGGGCTCCTGTAAGGGTTCCTTTTAAAGAGGTCTCTAGAGGTTACAAAACACGCTACATTTAAGGTTTAGTTGCTTGCGGTTCCGACCCCTGTAGTGCCGTAGTGTTCCTAGCCCAAGGGCCGGAGACCTGCCTGATCCATACAGAACTTGATTGACTTCCTTATATTATAGGGGTTTCCGATAATTAGGGGTACCTTATTTTGGGGTCCTTGTAATAAGGATCCTTCTATTTAGAGTTCTAGTTATATACTAGGCTCCCTCATTTTTGGAAACTCCCATATAGTTCTTTTCAAGAGTGCCTTTTCCCGGCCCTTGTTTGCCGAAAGCTGCAACGTGCAAATTTTGGCGAGGCAAGCGCTGAAACCTACACTATACCAAAGGGCCATTGGGAAGCTTTGCTTTGTTGGTGAGCGGCGACAGTGGACCGCCCACTCCCAGGAATTTGGTCACCAAGCGTGGTGCCTTTCCGGACTTCAAGATTGTCGGTTTAGGGATTGTGTTGCGAGAGTTAGAGGGGAATGTCAGAGCATCTATGGGAAACAAAAACTGTACCTCTGCACCCCAACTTCTGAGTTTCTTCCGATGTCCTACGAATGCCGTGCCTTTTGACTTGAGCAGGGATTGGAAGTCAGAATGCAAGAGGCTCATGAAGAAAGCAGTCACATTGGGATACTCGTTTTTTGCATTGGGTCCATTGCTGCGCCGCTGCGCCTACTGCCAAGCACCTGCGCGACCGGATCTCGATGGGCGGCCTTTAGCAAGTCGGCCTTCGATATGTGACGATGCCTGCGCTGCATGGCGAGAGCCTGATGTCCGACGAGCGCCTCTTAGAAGTCGCACTCGTGCTCCTCGTCACTTGGAAGGGCAGGGGACGTAGTAAGTAGGATAACCCTAAATGGAGTTACCCCAATTAATTATGACCCTACTTATAACCTACTTATTAAGTCCCTAAACCCTACACCCTAAACCTTATAGATCCCCTTTAAGGAACCCTATAGATCCCTTTAAGGAGCCCTTTAAGAGCCCTTACTGGGTCCCCTGCCCCTCCAAGCATGGCTTAGACCATTGCGGGGCACAGTGCTAGCAGTGGCTGTGGTCGTGGTCACGCCCACCCGGCGGGTACACCCCTGCTTCTCGCTCAGGGCTCTTAGCAGCATGGTGCGTGCGAGCCGTAAGAGTCTAAGTTCCCAAAAAGCATGTGGATGGCTGTCAAAGTTTTGGTCACTTGTGGGGTCCTTATTCTAATACGGCACCTAGTATTTAGGGTACTCGAAAAGGCGCCATAATTTTGACAACTACCCATGTACTCCTCAAGTACAAACCTACGAAGCCGCCTCCCCAAATCCAAGTGCCTGATCAATGGGTCCTTTGCACTCTTAGGGTGCCATGGAGATTCAGAGGCCGTTGAGGCTAAAAGACAAAATCCAAATCCCTAAGGATGACTCTAAATCCTAAACCCTAATCCAAAAAGGCAAATCTGTTCTTAAATCAACTTAAAGCCCCGAACTTTTCTACCATGTGGAAAACCTCAAGAGCAACTTAATATAGGGGCCTACATAATTGCCAATACTATTTTGGGGGCTTCCTTGTTCTACTTATAGTATAACGGGGCCCAAAACCCTATTCTAATTATTGAGGCCCGTAGATTAAAGTGGCAAACCCCTCAGCCCAAAGCCAAAACTCGCAAACCTCAACGGCCCAACCCAAAGCGGTCAAGATTGAAATTGCACTGGAAGCTGGCCTGTTGCGAAGCCAGCGACCAACTCTCCAGCCAGATCATGAAAGGATAACCTCGGCTGCATCGAACATTTGGACCTAAACCCTACGAATGCCTATAGAGAGATCACCTCGCAAAACCCTAGAAAACCTGTGTAAGAGACGATGGATACCCAAACCTCAAAGGTTAAGATCCTAAAGACCCTGGGTTGCAGAGACGAACTTCACAGCCACAGCCGAAGGGCGGCGTCTTTCTGTGTCTGGAGATGCCAGCAACTCCTGACGGGCTCAGGGCTGAAAAGGATTTGGAAGGTTTTGGGGCTCATGGTTTCAAGTGTGACACCTCACCAAATATGCAGATCACTGGACTTCATTTTCCAGACAGGATTTTGGGGTCCCTATAATAAGGTTCCTACTATTTAGGGTACCATATTAGGGTTTAGGGTTTAGGGTTTAGCGCAGTTAGTGATATACTGGGCCCTCCGACTGCCTCTCACTCTGAGTTTATTCTGGTCGCTCAACCCATCCAGGTCGGATAAGGAAAAATACTTTGAAGGGCAGGGGACTTAGTAAGTAGGTTATAAGTAGAGTTATAAGTACCCTAAATGGCGTTACCCCAACTATAACCCTACTTATAACCTACTTATTATGTCCCCTGCCCCTCCAAGTATACTCCTGAAACACGCCTAACAGCCTGTCTCGCGCTATCTGAGTAGGGTTTCTTCAAATTCCTCCTTGTGTGGTCCTTATTTGCAGGGGTCGACCTTCAGATTGCTGCCAGCTAAGTGTCCGTTCTGCGAGCTTGCACCCTCAAGCGGCTTAACGGAGCCTAAACGGTCATACTCAACCCTTTCCAAGGGTATCCACTGTTCCAGATATGAAGTGCCGACCATAGACTGTGATACTTTAGGAAGGGGAACACCCCCCGTATGACCATCCCTATATGCTCAGTTTCTTCATATTTCTCCTAAAGCACATCATTCTTGGATACTTGGACCATCAGTGTGGTGTCTTAGCCTTTGTTTACATGTCAACCTGTTTACCGACAGTTTTCTCACCTAGCGGTACGTCATCCTGTTCTTCTCCCTGGCTCCATGCACAACATTGGTTCGTAAGGAAAGCCTGATCCGCATCACCATGCATACTTGGAGGGCCAGGGGACTTAGTAAGTAGGTTACAAGTAGGGTTATAATTGGGGTAACTCCATTTAGGGTACTTATAACTCTACTTATAACCTACTTACTAAGTCCCCTGCCCCTCCAAGTACGGTGGAGCTGTTCCGACCCAGATATTACGCACGCTCAAGAGAAGTTGGGATGCGGCAGGAAGGTCCCGCTCCTCCAATCGGCAACCCTCGTGGCCTTGAAAGCTTCGGGTAGGTTTGTTAACCCAACTTCAGTAAACCCTAAATCCTAAACTTTCCTCTCTTTAGACTTGTTGATCCAAAACATTTAACCCTAAACATTAAACCCTACACCCTAAACCTTGGACCCTAAACTCTACTGGGCTTTGGGACGCCGGAGCTTTGGGGCTTTAGAGCTTTGGGCGAAGGTGCGGAGTATCTCAGGAACAAAACATGGGAGTTTCCGACGATTAGGGGCACCTTATTTTGGGGGTCCTTAATAATAAGAGTCCTACTATTTCGGGTACTATATTAGGATCCCCTATTTTCGGAAAGTCCCATATGATTTTTTTTCTTCAAGACAACTTCCTGAGACAATGCGGGCTGGCTTTGAACTATAGGACCTGAAGCCCTCACTAAACCCTAAGGTAAAAGCCAGAAAGTTGGAATATGATTATCCTAACCCTTCTATGGTAAATTATAGGGTATCCTACCATGAAACCATATTCCAACTTTCTGGAGTTCCCTTTAAGCCCTGAACCAAGCCCTCAACCCAAGACCCCTACAGCATTGTAACCCCAAGCCCGAGACCCCTTAGACCCAAGCTGCGAAACCTTGAAACCGAAACCCATGATCAGCTCTATACGCAGCCAGAGCCATGAGCCCTTGAGGGTTTTTAGATGAAAGTGCTTGGGCGTTTAGGGCTTTAAGTAGTTTAGGGCTGGGAGTTTACAATATTCATAAACAACTATATCGTATATGGCGCAGAAAATCTTATACCGAGTGCATCGGCTAAAAGAGGGGGTGAGAAGGTTTATGGGGTTTTAGAATGGCGTTCAAAACCCTCTGAAAGTTTAATTGGCCCTAAACCCTAAACCAGGAATGTATCATAGAAAACCAGGGCTCTTGTTGGGTTTACTGGGTTCCTTTTTAAGGGATTTAACTTGAGCTACCATAACAGCGGTTTACAGTACATGATATGGCTCCCTTACTACGGTGCCTTAAATCAAAATTAAATCCCTTAACAAGAATCCAGTTTCGGGTTTCGGCTTCGAACATCCAAACCAGGTTACTGGTAGGACTCAGCAGTCCAAATCTTGAGTATTTCTGAATGGTTGCCTGTCTCGCAGAGGCAAAACATCAGAAGAACTTAAAGGGGTTTAGGTTGCTTTACCTTTGAAGGGTACGAGAAGGGCTGCTATAAGGCGTACCATATGGGTGTACTATACTAAAACGCCCTGATGACGCGCACCATCTCACAATAGGGGTTGACCCTAAATCACGAACTCTTAACGACTTACCGGTCCTGAACCCCAACCCCAGAGAGTCCCACAAATTCTACTGAAGCAACCTGAAGAGCTCAAACGACAGCAGAAAGCTCAGCACTTCGCCGCTGCGCACGAGTGTGCTTAACCTCGCGGGACGGGGTTCGGGGCGCTGCTTTTTGAGATTGGGGTTCCCAAAGAACTACACAAAGGCTCTGCAGAGATTTTACAAGCGTTTCTGGAAAGGTGGTTGAAAGATTTGGGGTTCCGAGGGTAGGGTTTAGGATTCACAGACATCTACGAGTCTATGTGGTAATGTCGATGCATTCGATGATTCACTTCTACCCCTAAATCCTCAAGAGTCCAAAGTGGCTCAACAAGGTATCGGGATGAGTAATGTCGCATAATATGTGGACGAGCAATATTAGGTACCTGGAACCTTGGAGTATAACATTATACAGAGCCTTGTGCTCAGAGCACCTCCGTGCTAAACCCCTGCCTGAACCACGCTAGTCCCCCGAGCCTAACCCCCAAATCCTATACCACACCAGAATCATCCGTCATGTGTGGAGGCATGGGTTCTCAGGGGCTTAGGAAACATCAGCAACCACATTGTGGGCACACTCGAATCCGAATTGTTGCGATGGGGGCCTGACCAAGCAGCAAGATTATTTCCTACTGGAAATACTATATACCAGGCTATACCACCTAAACCCTACTCCAACTACTAAGACCTTATCAAGACATCCCCCAAAACCCTCTAGAGAACTCTCATGGGACCCCATACAGAACCCTTACAAGCAACTCTAAACCCTGAACCCCGTTCCAACTATTGAGGCCCCCCATCTCACAGAAGCCTCAGGCTGAAGGTTTAAAGTTCCAGGTTCCTGAGTATAGGGCCCCCAAGAAAGCACATAAGCAAAAACTAAGGATAGGGATATCCCATAAAAAACCCTTATTATGAAGCCCAATGAGGTAGGGATATCCCCTTAAAATGCTTATGCTTATGTGCTTTTTGGGTCCCTAAGAGTAGCTCCAAAATAATAACGGTACACTTTTGCGTAACACTACCTTTTGAAAAAGGAGACACCAAAATCAAAAGGGCAAAAGGGTACTACCCAGGAACCTAGGGTTTAGGATTTCGGACTTCAACCTCCCATGCCTGCAACCATCTGCTATAGGTTCGAGGGCTTAGGGTTTAGGGTCTTCGGGTTTAGATTCAGGAAAGGAAAATCCCACATGGCTCTTAAGGTCTACGGAGTAAACATGAGAGTAGATGCACTATATCAGGCAGAAAATTGCAAAAGCACCTGTCATGCAACCAACTTGGACATGCAGGGTGCCGCATTGAGGATAGTACCGCACCTTGAACCATAACGTTCTTCATAATATGTTACCAGGTATCCGAGTTGTATGATACAAGGTATAGTAAGCATATGATACAAGGTATAGCAAGCGTATGATAGAAGGTATAGTAAGCGTATGATACAAGGTATAGGAAGCGTATGATAGAAGGTATAGTAAGCGTATGATACAAGGTATAGGAAGCGTATGATAGAAGGTATAGTAAGCGTATGATACAAGGTATAGTAAGCGTATGATACAAGGTATAGGACGCGTATGATAGAAGGTATAGTAAGCGTATGATACAAGGTTTAGGAAGTGTATGATAGAAGGTAGTAAGCGTATGATACAAGGTATAGTAAGCGTATGATACAAGGTATAGGAAGCGTATGATAGAAGGTATAGTAAGCGTATGATACAAGGTATGGCGATTAACGCTATGTCGCGAAAGCTGCCGCTGGGAGGCGGGTGGAGCCGGTCGGCACCCGCTGGGCAGGAGCTGCTGACTTGCCTTAGCTATACTCTAAGGTTTAGGGTTCAGGGTTAGGGGTTTAGGATTTAGGAGTTTAGGGTTTGGGCTTGGAATGATTTAGGGTTCAACCTAGATGAAATCCGGCTTACTAAGATTGTATAGACCTCAAAACAGAAAAGTAGAAAATGGAGAATGCCCAGAAGGATGGTCGAAAACGTCAAAAAGTATATTTAAAAAAACTATATATATATATATATATATATATATATATTGTAACAATAATAGTAATAAAAGTTATAATCATAATAATAATAATAGTAAATATCAGTATAAGGAGGAACCCTGGAGTATAGTATTAGTTGGGAACCACTAAGGAATCTGTATTGGGTTGCTTACTCATACCCCAGATCAAAAAATCAATAACCAAGAAATGCCTAATGAGCCACACTAACAACAACCCCCTTGCAAAGAGCCCACTTCTTCGCGTGCTGGAGAAGGACTTCAGTGACTTCAGCAACAAAGGAGCTTCTGGACAAGCACTTGACCCCTAACCCTAAACACCTAAACCCTAAGCCTTGTAGCCCTTCTGGACCCGTAGTAAAGCCCTTATGGAACATCGAACCCCAAATTTAGAAACCTCAAATACACCTCGCAATAGCTCTTGTAGAACCCTAGACCCCAATCCCTAGAACCTTACACAGCTCTTACAAGACCCTTTGGCTCCCACAACCACGAACAGTCTTCTACAGAAGGCAGGTGCGCAGTTTAGGGCCAACAATAGAGGGTTTAGGGCCAGTTTTGGGTTCCTTCTAGGATTCTTTAAGGTGTGTTAAAGGGTTGTTTTGGGATTGCTTCAGGGCTCCTTTACAGTAAGGTTCTGTATGGGTTCTTTAGGGGCTGTTTTGGGCAAGGGTCCTGCAAGGGTTCTTTACGGGTGGTTTTTGGGGAATAGGATTCCTCCTGCAGGGAAACTCTCCCGTTCAAGTATAGGTATCTCCAGGGATAAGATAGCTTTCGGCCATACACGAGGAAAGAACTAGCCGAGAATGGATCTACTCCAACGGGGACCCCTACCCTATAATGGGCCATATAATGGGTATATCATAGCTATATTAAGGGTACATACCTAGGGGTCCTTATTCAGGGTCCCTCCTTTTACCCTTGGAAACTCTAAACCCACAAACCCTAAGCCCAAACGCGACATATGAGTACGTAAGTCATGGCCCCATCGTTCTCGGGTGGAACCTTCGAAAGACCCTCTTTCTAAGTAAGCCCTCATTCCTCAAGCCAAATTCCCAAATCTAATTCCTGTAAACTAATTCCTGGACCCTACAACCTCAATGGACTCTGAAACGTTCAAGAAAGCACTGCAGCAAGAGCGGCAGGAACGGAACGGAGAGTTGGAGCACTGAGAGGCGTCCACAAGCCTGAAACTCGAGGACCTAGATTTTAGCGACATCGTTCACAGAACCAGTGACGCACTACATTACAACTTGACAAAGCCATCGAACAAAATGTTGCAGCAGACTGCAAGGAAACACAACATTGCATGGAAGGGATAGCACAGGACATGCCGTGGAATGCCTGGTCGTGCCGTTATTCATGAAGCCAGTACGTTTCCAAGGCTCTATCAGTCAGACCTATGAAGTACTAGGAGCAACCTGACGTAGCGCCGCCGTCGTCGTTCGTCGTCGCCATCGTCACTGTCGAAGCCGCAGAAGCAACAACAAGCAGAAGCAACAAGAGGCAAGAGCTGCTGCTGCTGCTGCTGCTGCTGCTGCTGCTGCAGTCGTCGTCGTCGTCCTAGTCGTCGTCGTGGTCTTCCTCGCCGTCGCTGTAGTAATCGTAGTTGTAGTCGTCATCTTAGTAGTGGTGGTAGTGGTGTGGTAGATATAGGCGTAGAGGTAATCGTGGTAGAGTGATCGACCACAACGACGATGACAACGACGACGACGACGACGGCAACGGCCAAGGGGTCGGCACGAAAGCGAGTGATGCTCCTACTTACAACACTCGTGCCAGTAGCGTCGAACCCTAGTACTAGTTGCAGGTGGTACTCCCAAAACCACAAAACCTTAAAACTCTGTTTAGCAGCAACCCGAACGCATTGAACCCTGCGGCAAGAAATCCGTCAGCGGCCTTGCCCTCAGCATCTGATTGGACCATGATGGAACCCATCCTCATGGGTTTAAAACGGGGTTCCTTCTTTAAGGGGCCTTTAAAGCGGTCTATAGGGGATCTATAGCAGGGTTCTATATTCGGGGCCTTAATCATTAGAATAGGGTTTTGGGGCCCGTTATGATGCTATGATCATAATCAAGTACCCCCGATGTAGTATAGGTAACCATTAAAGCCCCTATATTAAGGTTCTGAGTTTACGGGTTAGAGGCTGAGGGTTGAGGGTTTAGGGTTCTAGGGCTGAGGGAGACGCTTGGCAACTTTGCAGTATCAGCTTTTGGGGTGTAGGGTGCACGTTTCAGGTGCTTTTGATTTCGAGTTTAGGAGTGTGGTTTGAAACCCTACGACTGACATCGATTCCCACTCACGACCATCTCTTGGCTTTCGGGATTTGAGGATTCAGGGCCTGCCAGAAACTCGACGAGTTAGCTATTCGTGTGCTAGGTTCAGGGTTCAAGGCGTTGTCACTTGACGTCTGGCGCTGCGAGAATCAAAGGTGTGGACGGTAGAGGATGATAATCTGAGCGTTCTGGAATGCACGATTTACGGATTCTTGCTTTGCTTGAGGGATCGCAGGGAAAGCACCGCTCAGAAGTAAAACCGCTATCACTCTAACCAATGTAGGCTGTATATTACATCGGCGCCCGTCGTAAGATTCAGAAATTTCAGGGCCGTGCGGTGTAGCGCTGTTCCGGATTAGAAAAGGCACAGGGGGCAAGACACTCGACTTACGGAATAAATCTCTTCCCCAACACAAGTTCCAGGAAATGAGCTTTATCCGGAATATCGCCTGTCAGGATCCCTAAACCCTAAACCCTAAGCCCTATACTTATTTGTCTCTCTGAAAAACGAGCCAACACTCAAATCTCCACACCGTCAACCTCACAGCCCCCACAAAGCCCCCAACTCTGAGTTTCAACCACAAAGGAAAACCAAACTGAACCCCAAAACCCTATCACTTTCACTTCCAAGGCACGGAATTCATGTCGGGTGCAGCCTACACTGCGCCTTAATACAGGGGCCTTAATAATTAGAACAGGTTTTGGGACCCATTATGCTACAAGTTTAGTAAGGAACCCCTCAAATAGTGTTGGTACTCATTCAGGCCCCTATCTTGCCCCATATTATGAAAGGTTTCAGGGTTTGGGTGTACCCCTTGAAGGTACCGTATGAAGGATCCCTTTAATTAAAGGGTGAACCAAGGACCTATCGTCAAGTCCAAGCGGCACGCCCGTGGCATCCGTTCCCACGATCTCCTGCAACCCTGAACCCTAAACCAGTCCCTGCAATTTCTTACCAGAACCTCAAACTGAACAAAAATGGAGCCCCTTCTGGTACTTAACCATGTGTCGATTTCAGCAGTACCCCAAAATGGATTATACTTGGCGCTCGGTATGAAACAGTAAGGGAACCTTAAAGTTATGCCACGTTGATACCTAGTACACCTTTGACCCCCTGAAGGCTACCTGCAATACGAACAGCTACTTGTTGTTGGTTGGTAACAGAAAACCCTACTCTAAGCTATTCTGAAGTTAGATGGACCCTACAAAAATGTAGGTGGCTTTAGATATTCAAGGTAAGCCCCAAACCCTGAAACGGAAAGCCCCTGAACCCCAATACAGTCCTAAACCCGAAACGCTCATCCCTAAACTCTGCACCCCCGATAAAACCCTAGACCCCAGACCCCAAAGTCCTAAACCAAGCCCCTGAGAGGGGCTTCAAATTCTGACCCCTGGCTCCTCGAAACGATTTCTTGGGGGCTCGGGGACTATGGGGTTTCAGGGTGTCAGGGTTTAGGGATTCGACGTTTAAGTGAGAACAATGACATGGTTTTGGGGTTTGGGAATGCTGGGTTTGAGCTTTGGTTTCCGGCTAAGGGGGCTTTACGGGCTGTCACATTTGGAACACGGTTGCGTTCTGACGCCCAGGGGCGCGTCGCTTACTGCTTTTCGAGTTGAGAGAGTGTCGGGATCCGATTACCGGGCAGGAAAGACATTTTTCAATGAAGCTTCGGCTTACAGTTGTTAACATCACCCCTAACCCTAACCCTAAACCCTAAATCCGGTGACACAGCCCCCCAAAACCCTGTCGGCCGCCTGTGCCTCCCTCGCCATATATTCAGCCTCCTCGCCCCAGTGCGCCGGAATGAGCTGAAGCACCACAGGAACGTCCTGGCTTTGGGGTGAAGAATCCCTAGATTCAAAACCCCAAGCCCCAAATCATAAACAGCCATAAACTTCAAGCCCCAAGCCGCAAACCCTAGCTCAAGTTACAAGCTGCAAGGCGGAGGCTTGCGAAGGCCGTGAAACACCTCCTGATGACAACATCAGTCATGTTATTATATTTTTTGAGACTAAATCGATGACGAAAACCTAGCGGTTTTCGACACTCCATGAGACAAAATATTCAATTTTTTTATTGGTCTGGGTGTTCTTGAACCTCAAAGTCGACTTAAAGCCTAAACCCTAGGCCCTAAACCTTGAACCCCAAGGACCTCAAGCTTAAACCTCAAGCCTTCCTTTACCCCTAAACCTTACAGACCCAAAAACCCTAAAGACTATCCCTTACCTTCATCCCAAAGAACCTACCTGTTCAAGGACTCATATAAGGAAACCATATAACCAGGAACCCAAATCATGCAGGTTCCTTAGGCTCCAGGTAAACCCTCAACCCTCAACTAAGCCTTAAGCCCCAAACTGCAGAACCAAAACGAACCCTTAAGCCCTAAACTCCAAACCCTACCCCCTTAAGCCTAAACCCTATACCCCAAACCCTAAAGCCCTCAACCCCTAAAGCCCTAAACCCTGTCTTCATTGAGCCGAGTGACCTCCGGGCCGCAGTTGCCTGCTTCCAGAGCTTCCGGCTGCACACCCTGGAGGAGAGCAGAGGGGCCGTGGAGGCATGTATCTATCTATCTATTTCTCGAAAACTCTAAACACACATATCTTTGTATACATACATATATATGCTCATAAAGAGGGGCCATGGAGGGATGTATCTATCTATCTATCTATGTCTCGAAAATAATATGTACATATCCATACCTTTGCTGCGTGTATGATTATATATACACACATGGGAAGATGTTATGATGTGTATACATATTAAACCTATACAGACCAGACCCTACATTCCTATCATGGGGCCTCCGACCATGGGCCAAGAGGGAGCTTTGGGATGCTTCGCCGTGGATGCAGCGCACGCAGGAGGAGGAGCATCTGGTCCTTGCAGGGGCTCCATGTGATGCCATATAGGGTCAAGGGTTAACGGGTTTAGGGTTTAGGGACTGTTCACAAATTAGACGAGCGTTTGGGTTATGTTCCGAATAAAGAATAATGGAGCCATATGGGAACATTATGTCTAATGAATATGGGTGTTCCGAGGTTTCCATGGGTACATATCATAGCTCTTCCTCCTCGCGACGCCCAGGTCGCTGAAGCCAGTTGCCCTCGTAAGCTTGCCGCTGCAGGACCTCATGTAGGGATTTTTAGGGATTAGGGTCTAGGTTTAGAGATTCAGATCTTCCCTGTTTTGTAATTGAAGGGTTTGGAGATTAGGGATTAGGGTTTATGGGTTTAGGGGTTTGGGGATTTCAAGGGTTTATGAAGTTGTCCGATCTTCCCTCTTTGGGGGTTTGGGATTTAGGGATTAGGGTGTAGGGGCTTCGGGTTTACATCGGCGTAGTTCCCAACACCTTAGATATCCCAAGCCAAAAGCCTGCCGATACTACACCAAGACGGTTCACTTTCGGTATCGAAAACCTCAACCTGTCTTAGCTTGTGATGTGCGGTGTATTTTAGGGTGTGGAGGCATAAGTTTAGGGCTTAGGCTTAAGGCTCAGGGCCTACCGTCATGGTCATCGTCGTCAGGCCGAGGCACACCGAAGGTGAACCACAGAAACTCGTGGCCGCTGAGGCAGCCGGACAGCCTTGAAGGGTTCCTTTTAAGGGTTACTATAAGGGTTATACTGCAGGGGTTGTTTAGGGTTCTTAGTAGACTGTCTGCTTCGTAGGGAATGGGGGAATGGATTGTGGAGAGTACTATAGGGACTACTATAGGGATCCCGTCCCCCATTCCCTACTAAGAACCAGACAGTTGAGACTTCACCGCAGCATAACATAGGGGCCGAAATGGTTTGGAAAGGGTTTAGGCTTTAGGGTTGAAGCGGGTTTAGGGTTTAAGAGGGTTTAGGGTTAAAAAGGGTTTGGGGGTAGATGACAGTATAACTACATAGGGACCCTGCACAGATGATAGTACCGATTTTCAGAACGCTATGTTAAAGCAAAAGTTAAGAGGTTAAGGCTTCAGTTTAAGACGTAAGGATCTTTCTGGGCAAGTGCCAGCACTAATCTAACGCGAGACCCTAAGCCCAGATTGAGCTGTCTAAGGCTTGGGCTTGGGCCTCGGGCTTTGCGTGGTGAGGGTCGAGTGCGCGGAATCCAGGGCTTGTACTTGGAAGGGCATGGGACTTAGTAAGTAGGTTTTAAGTAGAGCTATAAGTACCCTAAATGGAGTTACCCCAATTATAACCCTACTTATAACCTACTTATTAAGTCCCCTGCCCCTCCAAGTAGCCTCCCACGCCTTTAGGATGCTAGTCGTTGCCCCATACGCCCAATAAGACGATAGGGGCTTATGTAACCATAACACGCGGGCAGAGCCCAAACTTGAATACAGTCAGACACCAAGAGCCGTAACAGCTAGAGTAGGGTTTTCGAGCACATTACACAAGAAGTTTGAAATCCCAGCACTAAACCCGAAACCCCGAAACCCTGATAGCAAAACCATGAACCCTGAAACCCTGAAACCCTAAACCATATACAGCCTAAACTTATACGATTATACACCCAAAAAGAACCTTAAAGCACAAAACGGACCTAAACCCCGTTACTAAGAGCCCCCGTTTCCTGTCAGGGAGCAGCTGCTCCAGTGGCTGAGGCACAGTGCCAAGGTTGCTCATGGCAGCGTGTCGCCATGCCTTGTGTCCAAGGGCAAAAGGAGGGGCCCTTAATGAGGACCCCTAGGTAAGGTAACCCAAAAAAGGAACTACAATGGAGACTATAGGTAAGCCCTAAACCAGGCGAGCCTTTCAATGCAAACGCTTGCTGCGGGAACCTTCTGGGTCCGGAATCTGCCTGCAGTCTCCATTGTTGTTCCTTTTGGGGGTTACTTTAATCAAAGCTTATAGGATCCTAAATATATGTATAGCTGGTTAAACCAAGAAGAGGAACTGCAATGGAGAGTATAGGTGAAGCCCAAATTTCAGAACTCTGTGCCGCCGTATGACGCAGATGATGCCACGGCCCTGGAAGCAGCGTCCATGCGGCAGTCCCAATGTGGCCTGGGTTTTATGGTTTCGGAATTCCGGCGCGATTCCGGTTAATAATGGGGTTTGGGGTTTCAGGCTTCAGGGTTGTTTCAAAATTTGAGGGACTGCATGATATGCATTTGATCTCCTCACGACACTTGTGTCGTCTTGCTTCAACCCCCCATTCTTGATACAAAACAAATCTGCTGCCTGTCACTACTCTACCTCTACTTATACTTCTACTTCTGCTTCTGGTACTGCTACTAGCTGCTGCTGTTGCTAGTAAAGCACAGCAGCTATCCCGCGCAGGAAAGTAGAGCGCACAAAGTTAGATCCCTGTAACCCCAGAACATTCCAAAATCCTACACAGCAAAACCGTCCGAATCCTAGATCAACAAAACCTTCCAAAAAGCTAAACCCCCAAGCCTTCGACAACAAAAAACAACTTCGTTCAAACCATCCACCCAGCGAACGACCTGGCTCAATGCAGCTTGGCAGCTAACAGGCCAGGCGGGGCTGTTGGCTGAATCTCCTGTGCAGATCTTTGCTTTAGGTTTAAGATTTAAAGGCTTCCGCACTCCCCTCGTCATGTCATGCCCACGGCGCCGGGGCTGCTCCACATGCATGTCAACGCACATATCACGGCTTGTTGGATTGAGGGTGTCTCCCTACGGTCCAGTTGAGAGATCTATGTTTTGCGCAGTACGCCCTCAACTCTAAGCCTTTTAAACCTAAATCCCAAAGCTGTGCAGGCTGTATGGCCTCGATTGAAGGAGCTCTACAGGTCCTGGTTTACCCTTAAGAACGACCCTAGAACCCTCAAAAGGAACCCATAGAGGAGCCATTATGGGGTTCCTTTAAACTACAAACCTTCAAGGAACCCCATAATCTGAGGCTAAAGGCTCAACGTTCAGGGTTTAAGGGCAGAGCGGTATAGGCTTGTCTCGTCTTGCCCGAGCGTCTGCCACGGCGTCGTAGATCTCAATCCTGGGCTGTTCTGGGGTTTAGGTTTGAAGGATTGGGGTTTAGGGTATTATTGCTTTTGGGTTCCGGGGTTTAGGAGTATTAATCTTGGGGGCCCTCAAACAACGAAACTGTAATCAACAAAAAATAACTGCAACGGATTACTTGTGCATACGATTTCCAAATTTTTGGGGCTTTAAAATGGAGCCCCTAACCCCAAACTCTAACCTCCAAACTCACTGTACACCCAAAACCCAGAACCCTAAACTCTGACCCCAAACACCCCAAACCCGGAACCCCAAACTCTGATCCAACCACTACCCCTTTGAACCCTGAACTCTTTTTACTCGCTCCACTCCAAACCCTCAGCCCTACAAGCTCCACCATAAACCCTAAACCCTGGACCCTAAACCCAAAGAGCCCGTCTGGTCTTAATAGTGGGTATTTGGGGAATAGTCGAAGGGAGTTGGGGGTCTAGACCAAAAGCCGCGAGACCTTAAACCTAAACCCGAAGCCCAAACCCTAAACCCTAAACCCTAAACCCTAAACTCGAAACCCTAAATGCTGAACCCAAAACCCTAAATCCAAAAGCCGAGTCGGAGAGTCAAGCTTACACCCTAAACGCTGGAACCCAAACACCTTTTATAAATCCTAAACCCTAAACTCCACACCCTCAACCCCAAACTAAACCGGTTTAGTCTCTATAAGGGTCCCTGTAAACCCCTAAACCCTGTAAGCCCTAAACCCCAAGCTGACTAGAGTCCTTAAACCCCTAAACCCTAAACCGTTAGGGTTTAGGGTCCCTGTAACCCTAAACCCTAAAACCCCACAAACCAAGAAACCGAACGGCCGATAGGCATCTACTTTTTGAGGGACCCCGTAGCTGACGAGAGTCGAGCTCTTCTGAAGCCACAACCCTAAATAAACCCCGAGCCCCTCCATACTATAAGCCCTAAACCCTAAACCCTATACCCCCTGGACCCTGGACCCTATAAAACCCTAAACCCTATGAAAACCCTAAACCCTATGAAACCCTAAACCCTATACCCCCTGAACCCCATGAAACCCTAAACCCTATACCCCCTGAACCCCATGAAACCCTAAACCCTATACCCCCCTAAACCCTATGAAACCCTAAACCCTATGAAAACCCTACACCCTATGAAAATCCTAAACCCTATGAAAATCCTAAACCCCTATTAAGCCCTAAACCCTATGAAAACCCTAAACCCTATAAAACCTAAACCCTATGAAAACCCTAAACCCTATACCCCCTGAACCCCATGAAACCCTAAACCCTATGACAACCCTAAACCCTATAAACCCTAAACCCTATGAAAACCCTAAACCCTATGAAAATCCTAAACCCCTATAAGCCCTAAACCCTATGAAAACCCTAAACCCTATGAAAACCCTAAACCCTATGAAAACCCTAAACCCCTCTAAAACCCCTAAACCCTATGAAAACCCTAAACCCTATGAACACCCTAAACCCCATGAAAGCCCTAAACCCTATGAAAACCCTAAACCCTATGAAACCCTAAACCCTCTAAAACCCCTAAACCCCTAGCCCCTCCAAACTATAATATACCCTAAACCCTGTAACCCTATAACCCCTATGAAACCCTAAACCCCTCTAAAACCCCAAACCCCCTTGGCTGAGGAGAGTCAAGCTCTTCAGGCCGGGGAGTCCTAGGATTTCCTCGGGCACCACTCGCGGCTCCTCCTAGGCTCGGGGGGTGCGCTGAAAAAAAGGCGAGGAGCTTGGGAGAAAGATTAGGGTTATAGGGTTTAGGAGTTTGGGTTTAGGGTTTAGGGGTTGAGGGTTATAGGTTTTAGGGGTTTAGGGGTTTGGGGGATTGGGGGGCTGAAAGCGAGGAGCTTACGAGTTCAGGGGCTTAGGGTTGATATACGGGTTTGGGGGCTTAGGTGGGGTGCTGACCGTGAGGAGGTTTTGATTTTGTGACTGCCCACCCTGTCTCCCAGCAAGCAGCCCCAAGGTTGTGGGTTTAGGATTTGGGGTTTGTGCCCTGTGGGGGGCCGGGGGGAGGGGGGAGGGGAAGGGGCCTTTGACGATTGGGGTTCGTTGGTGATGTTGCTTGCGACGTCAGAGTAGGTGGTGGTCATAGCAGCAAGAGGTGCAATGACAGCCCCCATACTACCTTCCGCAAGCATCACCATGCTCGTGCTAATTTGCAATACGGCCCGAGAACGCACGAAATGGAAAGCACTAGCCGGACTGATACAGAACGATAGATGATACAGGAGCAACACTCGTGGAATGGGAGAAAGAAGCCTTACACCGTATCAATGCAACAGCGGGCTTCTCGCACGTGATATCTCGACAAGGTTTGGCTAAGACAGTCTTCTTCCAGCGTTCTCCATAGGTCAAGTCGGACATTTCGAGTCGGGAAACATGGGAACGCAGAGACATCCCCAGAATACCAACAATCTATACTAGGGCCTCGTGGACACTGATTGAACCAGAAAGGACAGCAACTTAGAGAACTGCTGATGTTCACGGTCCAAACAGAGGGTTCTCGTTTCTAGAGTTAAAGCTTCAAGGGGCTTGGATCTGAATTACGAAGGTGACTCGCAACCTGTGGCTTGTGTTGAGACAGGCTTCCTGGCACTGTATGTTCAAGACGCTCTCCGATCGTAGCTCCTTCCTTACCCAAAGGCTGCGCCGGTGAGGTTCAGGGAGGTTTTGGGATCAAAACTTATAAAGGATGTCTAGGATCTAGGGTTTAGGTATATTTAGGATCTAGGGAGGTTTGGGGTTTAAGGGATGCTTCTGGGTTGGGGTTTTAGAAAGGTTCAGGGTTTAGGGTTCAGAGACTTTCAGGAATTTGGGGTTTAGGTATGTTTAGGTTTTGAATTGAATGCCCACACCCAGATTGCCTCGAGATATGTATCATCTGCCTTTTACTCACTACAGCCATGCTTGATGCTGTTGCCTCCATCTGTTGCTTTTGTAAGATGAGATTATGAGATCCTGCCTCTGAAGCAATAGGCCCTAAGCCATAAAAAAGTTGCAGCCATAACCCCTTCAAGCTATCTCAACCCCCTGGGACCCTAAACCGTAAACCCCTAACCCCTAAACCCCCAATGAAGACCCCTAGGATTGGGGCTCCACAGCTGGGAGCTCACCTTGAGGGTTTTACGGCAACACGACTCTGCAGGACCATGTTCCCTAAATAAAGCCAGAAGCCCAAACCTTAAACCCTAAGCTTAATTTCTGACTCCTAAACCCTGAACTCTGACGTGGTTGTGGCATCAACGGGCAAAGATTGGACTTCGATCGTCAGAGCCTGTATTCCCCAAAGCACATTTCGAGTACATGGAATGCTGCGGGCGCACTGAAGTAGAACTCTCAAGCCCGCAACCGATATTTAGCATGTGAGGTTTGCGGTTTTACCGGCCAAAGAGCTCTGTGAAAGGCAGCAGCATATCCAGAAACCACCTGCCAAACAAGACGAGCTTGTTGAAGTCCCACGATACCCTAGACCCTGTGTAAACACCATCTTTTGGCACCGAAGGGCTCTTACCCAAAGGCCTCAAAGTAGTTCCTTTTTGGGATTACCTGATAGGATTCTATATATGAACCCCAAAAAGGAACTACTTTGGGGCCTTTGGGTAGAAGCGTTCCATACGGGGTTTCAGAACAGCTTATAGGGCTTATGCAGCCTCTAAGAGTCCATGTACTCACGCAGAATATATGTTAGCCCCAAAGTACCTACGGGGACTAGGCCAAAGTATATACTATACTGGGTGCATGGACCCATAGGGTTCAGGTTTTTGGTCCCAGGACTGCTGCGTTCAGGCTTTCCGGTTTAGGTTTTGGGGTTCAGGCTGTCGCATTAGGGTTTCGGGTTTAGATGTAGGGCTTCTGGAAGTATTTCAATACCCTTGGACTCCAAGTATACATATAATAACAGCTACTTTGGGGGTCTCAAGTCTTTAAATAATACCTAGACTGGCAGCTTGTGCGGGGCAAATTGGGCGGCAACTTAAGCGGGGAACGCCTACCAGCGGGGATGGGGCGTACCTAGAGGCTCGGACCGGGTCCGATTTTCACAGGGGTCATTTTTGAAGACTGCGGAGTGGTCCACTTTGCATGTTCATAGCGAAATCCATACCGAAATGAGGAACCGTGGATCGAAGGTTTTTGTTTTGCGAAGCCTTGATATGAAGTCGTGCATCATGGTTTGGAGAAGCTGTTCTTTTAAAGGTTTCCATGCGAAGAGGGCCTTGTGTTACCGTGCGGGCCAATGCAAAGTCTTTGCTGCAAAAATCTTGAACAGGCTGGCTGGCCTTGTGAGCTTCCTTGATAAATCGACCAACATGTCTGTAGGGTTGGCACTGGACGTTGTTAAAGCAAAGCAAGCGTGTGTCATGCACAGGATGTCTGGGAATCACTCAGAGTCGACCTGCTCATAAAAAGGGCTGTGGTGAAACCATAGACAAAGGGTTTAGATCGAAGTGTACACCACACAGGTAAGACAATCCACTTGTGTTTCAAGTGCATGCAGTGCAAATGCATCGGCACGCAAACAAGGGCTGAAATGCAGATGCACAGCAATGAACTGCCTAGATCAGATCGTTCACAAGGAGGAATTGCAGCAGTGTTGCAGAGACAGAGAGCCAGCCAGGCAACAGGACGTGCACAGCAAGTGCCATGCAGAGACAGAGCAACTGCAGATCAAGCTCATTGCACAGGTTTATATTATATGTGTCCAAGCACATTCACATGTCAACTGCAGTTTAATGCTAAGGACCACGACTGCCGGGGCTTTATTATATTGCCACCAGGGACCGAGGGCAGATCAAGTGCCAGCCAAAAACGTTTCAAGTGCAGCTGAAGGGCGAGTATCAATCATGGCATTGGTTCAGGAAACACAAGCAAAGCACAACTGATCCAGCGTGATTGAAACGCTTTTCAAGGGCAATTCAATGGTAAGTATGTTTCCGTTGTTTAACAGCGAAACCCAAACCAAATACAGATCAAGCGCATTTCAAGCGCATTTCAAGCGCATTTCAAGGGTAGGGAGGCTTGCCAGGCCTTGGAGGAATGCAAGGAGCAGCGCGTTTCAAGCGCATTTCAATAGTAAGGTGGATTCCATAAAAGAAGAGGAGGTCCCAAAGCAAATGCAGATCCAGTGCCTTTGAAGCGCAGTTCAATTGCATTTCCAAAGAGAAGGATTCCGTGCTTTAACAGCGAAACCCAAACCAAACACAGATCAAGCGCAGATCAAGCGCATTTCAAGCGCATTTCAAGGGTAGGGAGGCTTGCCAGGCCTTGGAGGAATGCAAGGAGCAGCGCGTTTCAAGCGCATTTCAAGCGCATTTCAAGCGCATTTCAAGCGCATTCCACTAGTAACGTGGATTCCATAAAATAAGAGGAGGTCCCAAAGCAAGCGCAGTTCAATTGCATTTCCAAAGAGAAGGATTCCGTGGTTTATCACCGAAACCCAAACCAAATACAGATCAAGCGCATTTCAAGGGCATTTCAAGCGCATTTCAAGGGTAGGGAGGCTTGCCAGGCCTTCGAGGAAAGCGCATTTCAAGCGCATTTCAAGCGCATTTCAAGCGCATTTCAATAGTAAGGTGGATTCCATAAAAGAAGAGGAGGTCCCAAAGCAAATGCAGATCCAGTGCCTTTCAAGCGCAGTTCAATTGCATTTCCAAAGAAAAGGATTCCGTGGTTTAGCAGCGAAACCCAAACCAAACACAGATCAAGCGCATTTCAAGCGCATTTCAAGCGCATTTCAAGGGTAGGGAGGCTTGCCAGGCCTTCGAGGAAAGCAAGGAGCAGCGCATTTCAAGCGCATTTCAAGCGCATTTCAAGCGCATTTCACTAGTAACGTGGATTCCATAAAATAAGAGGAGGTGCCAAAGCAAGCGCATTTCCATTGCATTTCCAAAGAGAAGGATTCCGTGGTTTATCACCGAAACCCAAACCAAATACAGATCAAGCGCATTTCAAGCGCATTTCAAGGGTAGGGAGGCTTGCCAGGCCTTCGAGGAAAGCGCATTTCAAGCGCATTTCAAGCGCATTTCAAGCGCATTTCAAGCGCATTTCAATAGTAAGGTGGATTCCATAAAAGAAGAGGAGGTCCCAAAGCAAATGCAGATCCAGTGCCTTTCAAGCGCAGTTCAATTGCATTTCCAAAGTGAAGGATTCCGTGGTTTAGCAGCGAAACCCAAACCAAACACAGATCAAGCGCATTTCAAGCGCATTTCAAGGGTAGGGAGGCTTGCCAGGCCTTCGAGGAAAGCAAGAGCAGCGCATTTCAAGCGCATTTCAAGCGCATTTCAAGCGCATTTCAATAGTAAGGTGTGCCAAAACCAAAAACAGATCAAGGGCACTTCAAGTGCGTTTCCGACACATTTCAATGATAACCAGGATGCCATAGGTAAACGAAACGAAAAGCACATACAGATGAAGTGCACGCCTTACGTTCTTCAAACACATTGGATGGCAGCAAGGATTGCACACACACACACAGACAGACAGACAGACAGACAGACAGACAGACACACACACACACACACACGCACACACTTGCTTGAGTTGCCAAACAAATCACGGGGCATTGGGCAACAAAATATGTGTCAGTAATCAACCCTTCTCACTATTGTCATGAGAAAAGCAAGCATTCCAAATCACAATTGTCATTTCAAACCCTGCATTCCCAGGTCCGGCGAGGTGTGCTTATTGAACTGTCGGAGTTAGCATTACAGATATGACTTGAACTAGAAAGAAACGCCCTGCGTGTGGTCGCAACGACCAATCCGACTGGAAGCAGCGCAGCTCTGGCAGTCTGGATCTCTGGGTGTCCTGCAATCCATGACAGTCGCAGCTCTATCGAATCGTATTTGTTCGGAACATGTTTGGAGTTTAAACCATAGGGGTTTAAGGAACAGGTTAAGGGGTTAGTCTAGTGTAGGGTTTGGAAATTACACGTTCAGGCTCCCTGACGATGACTGGACGGGCATGGGGTTCAAAACTACACACACTGCACTACTGCCTACTCGGGGCTTACCTATTCCAGCGGCAGCAAAAACAAACCAAAAAACTCATGCATTGCTAATGCCTAGGATGTGAAACCTGAGACTCAGAGTGCTATCAATGACGAATGAAATTGAGAAGCTTCTGAAATGAGCTGCAGCTCCAAGTTATAATTTCTTGAAAGGGCGATTGCTGGCTAACATCTACAAAAAGTATTATTCCGTATATGCTGGCTTGAATCATTGATTCCACATAGACTAGACTTTGATTTCAATAATTTTGACTACATTACGTATGTATACTAATACATTAGGTAGCCGACGCACATTTTCAACCTGGGCACTGCGGGAAAGTCGAGCGTCCGTGCTATGCGTGTGTCTCCTCGTCCTCCGAATCATCGAAGTCCAAAAGAACCTGCGAGTCGAACTCCGGTGTGTTGTACCTTCTCAGTGCCGGCACTTCAAGTGCACGACGGGGACCACGACCTGCCCTGCTGCTCTCATTAAGGGCACGGAGTCGTCCATAGCAGACCAGCGTGGCCCAAAACGTCGCGGCGAAGCAGCTCGCTTCAAAAGCATTGCCAGCAAGATCTGCCAGCAGGCTCTGCGGGAAGTTTTCCAGTCGTGTGTCGTCCTCCGTGAACCATGCCCCTTGCAAGCGCAACGACTCCAATGGGAGCATGCACCGGCACTCCGATGTCAAGTACCGCTCGCCCTTTGGTGTCACGCACGGCGAGTGGTTCGTTAAGTGGGCAAACTTGTCCTGCGAGATGTCGACGACCTGAAGAGTCTCGCTTGGGAAGTTCCTCACGCCAAGCTTGAACAAAGTCCTGCGTTTTCGGGCCGTCATGCACTTGAGGTACGGCCGTGTCCGAGCTGCCCGGCGGAATTTCTTTAACCAGTCCTTGGTGACGATCTTCTCACGTTTCAGGGTCCGGGTGCCCGACGAGCATGTGCTGAGGTGGCTGAAACTTGTTGCCCGGCTTGATGCGAAGGATTGTCGCCGGAATTCTCCCACCAGTCTGTCCTGCGGCTGTGACTGAGTGTCCTGCGACTCCTCGACCTGTGAGTCTTGTCGTTCTGCCCGGCGACGACGAGCCCGTCGTGTTTGGAGCTGCTGCAACTTCTTGTTGTACTCCGTGGTGAACTTCGCCATATGCACGCACCTGCATCAGAACAGAATACAAGTAGAAAGTACTTATTGCATGAGTACACCTAGAAACACACCTGCGAACCTACATTTAGCACTACGTCCCTATTTTTCAATCAAGGCAGTACAACAAGCCGTGGCATGAAAGAAGTATCTTGAAGAAACCTGATCCTCCCGTCAGACGCACCCAAGGACCTTAACTAAAACACATGTCCTGAATCAACTTCAAAACGAGAAAAACAACTGTACTGTATGTCGGTGGTAGGGGAGTAATGCAGCAGCAAATAAGCTCAATCTCACAGAACTACACCTGATTCGATGATGGCAAGGATGTGGGAAGCTACTACTCCTGCCAGAAACCAGAAAGATGAAGACGATACTCTGATACTCTGTCTTCAATTCTCCGAACTTACTGAGTAAAAAAATCAGAACTACTACAATATCCCTGGAACCATGCTCCCTGCGAGGTGTACGAGGAACCATTGCCATCTAAGCATGGGCCTCGAGTTGACCAGGTACTCCGACACCGAGATCTCCTTCAGACCCAGGAGTGTGTCCATGATGCTGTTCAGCATCTTTTGTACTTCGTGTTCTGGAAGGAGTCCCTCGAAGATCCGGCGTGGAATGGCTGTCATCCACAGCCGCTTTCGACTTTGTGGAACACCGAACATTCGTGGGTCCAACTCCCAGACATGCAGCAAACGATCTGTCTTTGTGCTGATCAAGTGTCCGACATGGTCCAGGTTGGAGGGTCCAGTGCTGCCGTCGGCGTTACGGGTCTTGGTCTTCAGTCCGGCGACGTTCTCAAACAAACAGAAATTCGGTCCGACGAGGCCCGTCGACTGCAGGTAGTGAACGATGCCCTGCAGCACGGAGCCAGTGCGAAGAGTGCCGTCGGCAACGCAGGATCTGTTGGCCGACGTGGACGACGACGGGTTCAGGACAGAACAATCCTGACATGGGAAGCCCGCCGTCATGACCGTACAGCGTGGCATGCGCACGAACGTGTTCGTTTTCGAGTCCCAGATTTCCTTGTCATATTCCAGGTCCGTCGCGTTACAGAACATGCGCTCGATCTTCCTGTCCGTCGTCAAAAGGAACTGGCGTTTGGCGGGCTCCTTCTCGCAGGCGAACTTGTGAGTGAATGCCGGCGAGTCCAGCTCCCAGTGGAAACGTGCCCAGTCCCAGAACTGCTTCATGACCGTCGCAGCGATGTCCATCCCACTGCAGATCGACCCGTATTGTCCATCGAGGAGCGTGCTTTCACGCACCAAGTCCTGACAGTATGCCACGTCCTCGGGGTCGAGCCTCCTGACCCAGAGCCTGAACAAGTCCTTCGTGCGTGTTGCATGCGCCGGCAGGGTACGTGGAAAGTGTTGCAGGCTGTACTTCGGAATATGAACCTCGACTTGCTTCACCACTTCTGCAGTACGGCGATGGGGTCTGTCCGGCGTGGGTAAGTCCTCCGGCTGGAACTGCAACGCTCGCCGCAAAGCCATGGGTAAGCTACGTGTACTGTACAGCGAGTGCCAGATGTTCTCTCAGGAAGCAGGACTAAGGAACCGGGAGACGATGAGTTTGCCGATAGGTATAGGCGTTCCGAACACAAGCCCCGGCCTCTCGTCCAATTATATAATGCTCTTTATGAATCCTGCTGAACGACGTGCTTTTATCAGTATAGCTGCCCCTGCATTGCACTGTTCAGATGATGTTCTGGAGCCAGAAGACTGACTTGGCTCTCTGGAGACCATCATGAAACCAGGTCGGAAAGGTTGACCCCATTCTTCCAGCAGCAGCAAGAAACATTGAAAAACAAAGCTTTCCAAATCGACAGTAAAAGAAATCCATTGGGAGCCTCTCTGCGACTAGTCCAACCGAAAACTAAAACCACATTCAACAAGAACGAACTAACATCATAGTGTAAGCAGCATTTCAAAACATAGGACATCTGAACATTCCATCCAAGACTGCACTGAACTGTGCGGCCGAAACCGTCCTTGAAGTGCTCCGTGTGTCGCTGCCAGAGTGAGAAGGGTGTGGCCTCTGCCCCAGGGCCTGCAACATGGAAATGGAAAGCATCTAGCCAAGGAGTGTGGGGGAACAGCGGTGTATTATCCTTAGGACTTCAGACACGCCTCTGCATGTACATGTTCTGTAGAACCTACAGATTCCAAATGGCAGAATGAGCGGCCCTTTTTATCCTTGCCGAAGGGCCGTCCTTGACATGCACAAGTCGGTCGTCAATCGTGTGACAGCGGGGAACTGAACAAAAAGAACCCAACCACAAAGTCTAATACATTATTCTGGTTTTCTGCAATCTTCTTAAGTTAATTCTCTTACGAGATTCAATGAACTGATTCAATGATTCGAAACATCGGGTCATCGAACAACGTGTGTCATGCAAAACTTGCACGGGCGAGTCCACCGGCGACAACATTCGTCATCTCTTGTCTGACATAAAATCATACTTTGCGAAAGACACGTTGGAAAGTTATAGCATTACGTACACCGGGGACTTGCTACGGCTCCTCTTCTTCGTCCAGCGACTGAATTGTCCTCGTGAAACGGCCCTGCAAATCCTTCAACAAATCGAGTGAGCTGCGCCTGTCCTGCTCCAATGTGAAGCATGAACCGAAAACGTGTGCAGCGATGTCGTCGTCCAGCAAGTGCAGGTCGCGTGCTCTCTCGCGCCATGCAGTCTGGAAACGAACGAGCGCTTGTGAGATGGTCGGCGTGTGCTTGACGAAGCCCTTCGGGTCGGGAGTGAACAGCGAGCGTGTCGTCTTCGCGTAGCAATCCCACGTCACCACACCGAGTGCCCACATGTCCGCCTTCGGGCCGATCTCCACCTCTTTCATCAAAGTGAAGCTGCTGAGCAGTTAAGGGAAACGACAACAAAATGAAACACATAGTCATACTTCCTGCCAAAAAACAAGTCAATTCTTAAAGACATGGCTGTTACTAGCAAGATATGAAGTTTTTCAGGCTATGTCTTTGACTAAGAAGCTGAGTCTACGACTGCATGTGCTGACATGACTCTTCTATGAATCAAGAATCAGATCTTTGTGTCAAGTTTTCAATTACAATGGCCATTGCGAGTTTGCTAGTAGTAATGACATCAGTTGGATCCGGGAATGCCTGAGGTTGATCTGGTCCTGCAGTTCAGATCCGCAAAATCATAAAGTGTTACTAGAATGAACATACGCACCGGGCTTACTACTTTCAACTTTCTTCGACTAGGATTCATGGTCCAGGCCTTGCCGTCCCCGGAGTAAAGGCACTCGATCGGCCGGTAGTACGTCGTGTAGACTTCGTCAGCTCTGACTTTTGCTTTTCCATTGAGTGGCAAAGCTCGGCAAAAACCAAAGTCGGACAGCACCACCCGCTCGCCGAGGAGAAACACGAGGAAGTTGTTCGTTTTCACGTCCAAATGTACGATGTTTTTGCTGTGCACAAATGTAAGAGCTGCGAGTGTCTGCCGAAAGTACGTCGTTACTTGGGCTCGTCGTGTGCTCCAGGGAACTCCGTCCTGAAGGTCGTCCGTCTTCAAGTCCCGTGTGGCCTTCAAGAGGTCGCAGGAAGCCCGCTCCATTAGAATTCCCGTGTGCCCAGTCGAGGATGTCAGCAAGGCATAGAGTCGCAGAACATTCGGATGAGGTCCTATCTGGCTCAAAAGAGTGAACTCACGGGTCAAGTCCCACGTCTTTTCGAGACCGTCTTGGTGCACGTCCAACAGTGCAGTCTCCCTGTCCGGCGTGCGAACGGCCACTTTCAAGGCTAACTTCAGGCCCTGGTACGTGCAAGCGAAAATCTCCCCGTACGTGCCGCGACCCATATGTTTCTCCTGCACCAGTGGGTCCTCGGCCGTGTAGCGAAAAATGCCACGACCGTCGAAGTCCTGCGACTCTGCGACGTCCGGCAGTGCTCTGTCCATGAACGAAGCGGGGGGAACTTCCGTGTGTTTGGCCTGTCGAAATTCTTCGCGTTGGACCCGATTCTCCTGGTAGCCCTGCCTGGCCTTGCGTGTGTACTCGTCACGGAGGTCCTTTCGGTTGTGCCTCGGGGAACAGAGGAATTTTACTGGACGATTGGGTGAAAAGGTAATCCCCGAGTAAAAAGTAACATGACTTGTATTAGGACTTTTAGCTACATCTTATTAATTATGTCTGAAGTAAATAACTTTGGTACGTAGCTAAGATGGCATATTCGGGTTCCTGACCAGAATTGCCAAGATTTTACTTCCCGTGGCTTCAGATGACTTGGGGTTCTAGGCAAGGGGCACATGTGTCAGTATCTATATTGATTTTGCAGCCAAGAAGCCACTTGCGCAGATAATGTTTTGAACCGCGAAGTGATGTTTTCCGGGACAGTCGACGACGAGATTTGGGGTCCACAGAGTCCTTGCACATGTCCTGCATGAACAGCGCGTATGCCGAGGGTCGTCGTGACAGTCCCACCTCCTGTAACTTCGGCCGGGCCACCATGGCACGAGTAATACTTCGAGGATGGAACCACGAGTCGAGACATGTACAGAGACTCTTTCCGTTCCATTTATTTCAACAAAACTGAATTCTCATGGACTCCCACCGAGAATAACAACCTAGGTTTCAAGTACAAACATTTCTGGTACAATTTCCAGTTGCGCTACATGACTACTCATTATCTTGTGTGTCCGTGGGGAAAGTTACACAGAAGGTGAGTGAGGGCGCGTTGGCTCGCCATATCAGTACATGTCTGGCCTACTTAAAATACGTGCTCAATGCATGGACGACATGCTCCTGAACTTGAACCCACATCACCGCCACTGTCTCACACACGTAGCAGTGCATTACAGAAGTCTGACTAGAAGCATCAATTGCACGGATCAAACACGCGTGCAAAGCGGAATAATCCTCTTTTGGGCCCGACGAATGTGTGCATCGATGCTGAACGACGATGTGCTACGAGGAGAAAAAGTCCAATCAGTCGAACCTTGTCAATCGCTCCTGCAAGTTTTCGGGTGGGTCACGTCCTTCGTGGTGCTCCACCCATGACCAACCTTGTGTTACACAGGCTCGACCGGCGGCAGCTTCACCTACTTGTGTCCATGAAATACTACGTGTAATGCTGACTACAGCTGTCTTGTACGACACCTTCCAACGACCATTCTTTGGGTCCGTCCAAACCTGTACAGTATCAGGAACCATGCTCTTCACAAGCTCGTCCGTCGTGGCATTCAGCTTTGCGTACACCCGGTCGTACTGCTGCTTTAGCTTTTTGCTGTCCTTCTCGGCCTTCTGAGTCTTGCGTCGGCGTGTGTCCTGTCCGGCCTTCCAAAAGTCCTTGTCCAGGTCCGAGACGGCGTTCTTGTACATCGTGCATACCTTGGGTCGTAGACTTTTGGCCGAAACCGTGGACCGACGGGCACTGAGCTCCTTGAGGGCCTTGTCCTGCTCGCCAATGAGCAGCGTGTCCCGAACGACGGCTTCCAAGTCCTTGTCGTCGACCTCCGGCATCCACTTGTCAGTCTGATGCCTTGCCAGGATTCGTTGAACCACGTCCTCTTCGACCAACGAGTTGTCCATGTTGAGCATGGCGGCAACAGCCAGCTGATGTCCTGCGTCCACACCTGATTTGGGTTGGGTGGCGGTCCAACCCATGTGCTGGCACAACCTGCGCAACAAAGCCTCAGAACAGGCAGCGAAGCCCTGCTCGGCGTGAAAGTCCAACGTGCCCATCTTCTTGTCCACCAAAAACACGATGCCGTTGTTGAGGTGGCTGCCCTGCGTGGAACGACCTCAGCAGTAGCAGTAGCGGCAGCAACACTCTTAGTAAAAAATGATCGCAATCGTTAAGTTTTGCGCCTGGTCAGTAAAAAGCGGTGATATCACTAGGAAGACTGGTAAAAAGACTCGAAAAGGGTAGTAGTAGTAGTAGTAGTAGTAGTAGTAGTAGTAGTAGTAGTAGTAGTGGTAGTAGTAGTAGTAGTAGCAGTAGTAGTAGTAGTAGTAGTAGTAGTAGTAGTGATAGTACTAGTAGTACTAGTAGTAGTAGTAGTAGTAGTACTACTACTAGTAGTAGTACTACTACTACTAGTAGTTGCAGTAGTAGCAGTAGTAGTTGTAGTAGTAGTAGAAGAAGTTGTAGTAATACTAGTAGTAGGAGTAGTAGTACTGGTACTAGTAGTAGTAGTAGTAGTAGTAGTAGTAGTACTACTACTACTACTACTACTAGTAGTACTTGTAGTAGTAGTACTACTACTACAAGCAATCGCAGTAGTTTACAGTAGTAGAAGGAATCTCAGCAACAGTCCTAGTAGTAGTAGTATTACTACTACTAGTACTAGTACTACTAGTACTACTACTACTACTACTACTACTAATACTACTGCTAGCACTAGTACTAGCACTAGTAGTATGGCCAAAAAAGTGGTAGCAGTACACACAACCACACCCTCCTTTCGTCAATACCCAAAACCTCGACGCACGTGCCATCCTGGGCTACTCAACCTAACTCTGTGAAACTTCGAATCCTTGACTGTCGAATCGCCTGAGTTGTTCAGAAACCCATAAAAAATAGCTTCAGTGCTACCCCCCCCCGGGCCGAAACTTACAATCTGAACCGGAGAAGCCTTCCGTGTCAATCAATCATCGTCACTCATTATAGGACGAATATATATGTAGAGAATGTCCGTGTCGGGCTGACAATGTTCAACTGTACTGCAGCCGAGGCACGCAGAGGTGAAACAACTCGCAGCCGCAACACTTCCAAGTCCAAAGATGTGCTGTGCATCCAAAAGAGAGACCGAACGCCCATGTTGAATTCGAAAACTCATGGTCCTTGTCCTTAACGATCTTGCCGGGCCATGCGAGTGCAGCCAAACGGTATGTCCGAACGATGAACAACGGGTCTGCACCTGCCAGTACAACATGTCCTTCGGGCAAAAGTCCAGAGCACCAACCTTCTTCACAAAGCGACCATCGCTTGGCCCTCCACGCCTTCATCAGTAAACTGAAGGCAGCCAAAACCTCCTGTTCCTCGGCGTGGTTGTGGGAGACCCAGTCCCTCGTCTTCGTCACGTCTGCAAGAAGCTGTGCTTCCTGCACCTCCGAGGCACTGACCTGCGTGCTGACCGACGAATCGGAACGACGACGAACTGCTTGAATCTTCTTCTTCTCGGTGTCTTTGCAGAAAAGTTTGGCCACGTCAAACGCTGCCGGCGTGTGGTAGAGCTCCGTTGACAGTGCCTCCACCCTCTCGTACATCTTGACCACGGCCTGTTGGGTCACAGCCTTCCATCCGTCCAAACGACCCAAGTCCTTCGAAGACGAATGTCGTTGCTCGGCCTCGCGCTGGACTTTATTACAGTCTTCGATGATCTTCGTGTTCAAGAGGCCCGACCAAATGCTGGTCAATACGTGTGCAACGTCCTCCGTAAGGCTCTGAAACCGGGTAGTGCAAAGATCGGCGAGGATGTACCGACTAATCGGCCCTTGGGAGAAATGACCTTCGAGCAATTTTTGCCATACGAGAACCACCACTGTGCGTGTCCTGGATACAAGACTGCATCTCTTTGAAAAAATCCAAGCTTGCCCGACGGAACTGCTCTTCAGCATGGACTAGTCCTGCGGTCGCACCGAAACCTCCAGTATGGTACAGCTGTGCCCCGGCCCGCAGCCGCAGGATCTGTAGTGTCAACTGCGTCATTTGGCCTGCGAGCGAGTCCTGCCAGACAAGCTCTGTCTCCTCCGGGGGTTGTGCGCGTGCCAGTGTCAGGTCGAGGCCGACACGAGATAAACCTTCCAAATTCGACAAAGTCCTGACGTGGTCCTTTGCAGTGCTCATCCAAGACCAGTGTGCCCAGCCAGAGTAGTAGTCCTTCGTCATGCCTTTGGAACGCAGCTGCTTGAGCATGAGCGAACAACGAAGCTCTTCGGGTTGCAAGACCTGGAACATCATCCTGGCTGTCGTCTTGTTGTCCTGCGAGATCACGAACTTCGTCATTAAGTGTAGACTGTTCGCGCTGCCCTTCCGCTCCTGGTCCATGCCTTGCTTGGCCTCCTGTATGGCAGAAGACTTGCTTCCACCATATGGAACCGAGGCACGGGCCTGGTTGCTGTCCTGCGAGAAGAGGTCCTTAGTGGAAACTGCCCAGTTGTGCTCCAAGCAGACCACCGTGAGAACTAAAGCCAAGACCGACCACTCTTTGTCCAGCGCGCTGTGGGCCGTCGTCAGGGAATTGAACCGACTCTTGCTGGCCTTCGTGCCCTTGATGCGGATGCAGTCCATGTCGGGTAATGTCTGCAAAAACGACCTGCGTTTCTCCTCCGTGTTGTCGTCCAGGGGGGAGAGGCCGGCGTCCAGCAGAATGTCCGGGAAGAAAAGGAGCAATATCGGGTCCGAGGGGTCCATGTTGTCCTTCATGCGATTTGCGGCTTGCTGGATCTTCAACGCCCACGAGCCCTTCTGCCAGGGTCCATACCTGATGTTGTACAGCGAGATGCACCATGTGCAGAACTTCAGGAGTCCAGCGGCCGACAAGGCCAAAGCCACGTCGTTGTGCGACCTGTGGGCGGGGTCCGAGACGTGTTCGATCCAGAGGCTCTTTTTGTTCCTCAAGAAGGAGACAGCCGCCAGCTGTGTTGCTTCTTGGTCGGTGCACAAAATCATGATCGGTGCACGTTTAGCCTTCGTGTCGTCCTCCGCGGGGCCGGCCGGCGTGCTCTGGCAGCAGCCAAAAGTCCAGCCAATGGGTCGCAAGCCGTGGTTTATGTCCTGCATCCAAGACAGTGTGGCCAGCCGGTCCTCCGCATGACCAGGTCCAACGGGTTTCTCGATCCCGAGGAACTTCTTGGAAGCCTTGTTCCACATAGCTTTCCACTGCTCAGCCGACAAGACGGACGATTTCTGGACCTGCTGCGTGGTCTGACTACACAGAGAAAAATGTGAAGCAAAGCTTAGAGGAAGAGCTTGTCAGCAACAGCATGCAAAACAAACGACAGAGGTTGTTACCATATAATCACCCAGGGGCCCTTTTTTGGGGGACCGGCCGGTCAACTTAAGCGGGGATCTGGCGTACCTTTTTGGGGGCCGAAATGCAGCCAAAATGTGGCCGAAATGCGTTCCTCGGCCTCCACCCGGGACCCGGTCAACTTAAGCAAGGCTGTGCGTACCTACTCATCAGTAGAAGGGCGGCCGGGAGCCTTTATCAGGCCAATCCCGAAACCCAGGGGTCAGCGGGGATACGTGTACCTATCTTTATATAAAATACAATAGAAAGACTCCGCCCCAAACCGAGCCTGAGCGGGGATACGTGTACCTCCCCTCGGAAAAACGATTTTGGTCGGACCCAGAAGCTACGAAAACGGCACCCAAAAAGGTCAACTTAAGCAAGGCTCTGACGTACCTCGCCTCTTGCCTAAAACGCCTCAGAAATATGTGTTGCTTAACAAAAAAAAAAAGCGCCTGCGGCGGGCAGACCCAAACTTTGTCCGTCGTGTGGTTGTACACCATGATGTTCAGCCAATCGTCACTTCCCACGTGCACTGCATCTGCCACCACGCACAAAATGTCCGTCGAGAGGAAATCTGACTTGCCCTGCGTGACATAGGCGTATCGCTCCATGCGTGCTAGCCTGTGTGCGTCCATAGAAGCGTGCTTCTTGATCTTTTGTTCGTCCTGCTGTTCGCTGCTGTCCTGCACGGTGAACGCATGTCCTTGCAATGTGGAGGTAAGTGTCCTGCGTGTGGCATTCGATGAACTCGCAACCTCTTGTCGAAAACTCGTGGACGACCGACGATATCCGGAGGTGCTCCTGAAACAACAGGGGGAATATCAATTTTCGGGCTTTCAAGACACAACCCTACATCTTAAAACCCCGGAACCCTCCAAACCCTTCAAACCCTCCAAACCCTCGAATCGAAACCTCTCTCCTAAGCTGCATCACTTGCTTCACATTCAAAGATGTCCAGCAGGAATGCGTGTCGTCCGACGAATCCATGGCACGTGCCAAAGCCGCCAACAAGTAGTACTTCGTCCTCAAACTAGATGACTTGCGAGTGTCTCCAATTGTCCGACGGGTGCAGTCCACATTCACATCCTGCAGCACGTCCATGAATCGGGAACGATCGCGGTGTAGTACTTTAGCAAGTAAACTGTTTTGCAGTACAACCTCGTCCACGTCCAGCGAACCTCCTTTGAACGGCAGCACCAGAGTGTTTCCGTCCCACGTGAATGAGAAGTCCTGCGGGGTCTGCAGGAACAAGGAAGCGAGGCCTTGAAGCAACTCCCCGGCCAGCTTGGATACCTCCTCTGCCGGCTTCTTCCATTTGGCATCTTTGCGCATACCCTGGTGCCATTGATGCAAAAGAACAATCGTTGCAAAGCTCGACGTGGCAAACTCTGTACAACGTGTGCTTCGTCCAGCTGCTACCTCTTCCATCTGGTCACCCGTGTGCTCCTCATTGTCCGCTTGCTCGTTGTCGTCCTCCATGTCGTCCTGCATCTGCTGCGAGGATGCCTTTCGTTTGGTGCCCTTCTTCTCGGCGTTTGCAGCGTGCTCCTGCTGCTTGAGGAGGGAGAACGAACTCTGGAGAAAGTGCGACTCGATCTCTTTTTTCAGAGCGTCCTCCGTGTCTGTCCAGCAGGGCCATGCAATCGTGAAGAGCTTGTTCCTGAACGTCGACACACTGCCTGCGAGGAAATTTCGAGACTCGTGTCCTCCGAGGAAGTCCACAAACCAACGCATGTGCCAAAAACGATGTCCATCCGTTACCTTGGTCTGCGGCTCTTTGAACTTGTAGCTCTCGCCCTTGAGGCTTCCGTGTGTCCCGCAGGGAATGCAAAATGCAACTGTCCGACGCTTGTCCGACGCAGAGCTGAAAAAAGCTGGAGGTCCTGAAGAAGAGGGTCCATCGGCAGAAGCGGGCTCCAGCATCTGATAGCGAGTGGATCAATTCTACAGTCTGTTTCTGGTGAACGAATGTAGCAAAACTTTATAGGCTATGTCCCAGGAAGTATATGTGACATCTGCCAAACCAAGAGAAAGGGAGGCTCTGCAGGCATGCAGCTTTTATTCTGGAAGCCCAAAGACAGCGGCAACGAATCGCTGATGTCGCAAGGCAGTGCTCACACCACGTGTCATGGGTCTGTGTTCTTCTGCAACATGTATGTAGCACATACTGCAAGGCACCGCAAGGAAGTCATTATTGCAGTCAGCCATTCATCGCACGTATTCTTTTATGCAGCTTGCAAGTTGCCGGCTTCACGGCCCCAGTGAAACTCGTGCCTGTCCACTCACTCAGACACAATGGGTCGAACGGCGAGGCGAACGACATTGTGCTTTTCGAGTGAACAAACTGGACAGAACAACGAGTAAAGTCAACCCCAAACTCAAGACACACTGAACTACCAGGAGAGAGTGCATTATGCACTCCGGACCGACGGGGTGCCCTGCGGCACATTGTCGCCGAGGCCAGCCGTGGTGTCTGCGTCCGACGACAAGTCGAAGGTCCACTTGGCCTTCATGTCCGGCAAAGTAGGAAAGAAACTCGCGCATTCAAAACTGAACAACGAGTTATGCTGTCCATCTGAAATGACACAGTCCACCGCAAAAGGGTCGTCCAATTGCCACGTCTTGTTGTCCGGGAGAGTAGGAAGCTCGTGGCTGAGGTACGACTCGTTGGGTACGAACTCCGAGCGGGAACGGCGAGGGTGTCCATCTTGTGTGGCAAAGACGTGGCAGTACAACGTGTTGTTCTCAAGTGACCAGATGTTGTACCTGTCCCGGTCAACACTGATAGCCTCCGCCGAGTTCACCGCAGCTATGTAGTTGCGACCAACGTCCTCCATGCGGGCCCTCGCTAACTTGACCAACGTGGACTGATAGCGAATGTCCGCACGAGATGGCAAGGACGCCGACTTGGCTGCCCAGAACTGGATCTCGAAGAGGGTCCGTACGACGGGTTCGTCCTTCTGTACGTCCTCCGCGAGCTCCACACCGCAATGCTTGAGCATTAAGCTCGCCATCTCAAGCGGCAAACTGCCCCATTTGGTGCACTTGCCCTTCCATCTCAGTCCACCGGTCTCCTCCTTCTTGGCAACGTCCTTCAGAAGACCATTCAACGAGCCCGAGCGGATCAGACCAGCGAGTGGAGAAATCCAAGTCGGGTTCTGGGTCAGCGTGTCTTGAATGAACCGCATGTCCACGTCGAGTATGGTGCTTTTGGAGTGCTGAACGGCGGATGCGAACGTCGCCTCGTTGCGCTCCCGGGTCTTGATGTCCTTCGCTTTCTGCTTCGCCAGCTGCTTGAGGGTGGGCTTGCGGGGGCCGGCATCACGAGGCATGCTGGGCAAGGTCCGTCGAGGAAGAACGACGGGGAAGGATGATAAGACTGCACGAAGTCTCAACGCACAGGCAGGACGGCTTCGGAAAACCAAACAATCAATCAAGCCCTGCTGCTGGGTGGTCTCACAGTGCATTGTGACTGGACGAACATGGCAAGCAAGACACAAAGCGTAGACCGCACGAGAGCACAGTGCCTGAAACGAGAAGGCTCAGCGGCAGCGATGCCGGCCAATGGAGTCCGTGTCCTCCATATGAACAGGACAACAGCGATTGCAAGAGCGCCTTCCTCCAGCTGGTTGACTACTGGTCTAGTAATTACTCGTAGCAATACTAATCCAGATTGCGAAGAGTAGTACTAGCAGCAGTACCACTACTCATTAAAGAAAGGAAAAACCAGTAGGCCGAAATTGCAGTCCCTATTAGTTGAAGTAGAAGTATTAGTAGTAGTAGTAGTACTAGTAGTACTAGTAGTAGTAGTAGTGTACTAGTAGTAGTAGTAGTAGTAGTAGTAGTAGTAGTAGTAGTAGTAGTCGTAGTAGTAGTACTAGTACTAGTACTAGTCGTAGTAGTAGTAGTAGTAGTAGTAGTACTAGTCGAAATAGTAGTAGTAGTAGTAGCAGTAGTACTGGTTAGCTAGTAGTAGTAGTAGTAGTACTAGAAGTAGCAGTAGTAGTCGTAGTAGTGCTAGCAGAAGTAATAGTAGTACTAGCTAGCTAGCTAGCTAGCTGGCTAGCTAGTAGTAGTAGTAGTACTAGTAGTAGTACTACTAGTACTAGTAGTAGTAGTAGTAGTAGTAGTAGTAGTAGTAGTAGTAGTAGTAGTAGTAGTAGTAGTAGTAGTAGTAGTAGTAGTAGTAGTAGTAGTAGTAGTAGTAGTAGTAGTAGTAGTAGTAGTAGTAGTAGTAGTAGTAGTAGTAGTAGTAGTAGTAGTAGTAGTAGTAGTAGTAGTAGTAGTAGTAGTAGTAGTGGTAGTGGTCGTACTAGTACTACTAGTAGTAGTAGTAGTAGTAGTAGTAGTACAGTACCAATGCTAGTAGTACTTGTACTAGTCGTGGTAGTAGTCGTAGTACTGAGTTGTACACCTCATGATTATTTTCCTGAATCAAGCCACACCCGAAGCCCCTCTGTGGACAAGTATGGTGAACTTCCAGAAGTGAAATCGGTTTATACCATGCACTGTAAGTAGATCTAGTTAAGGAGACACCACCCGCAATGAATAGGCCAGAACTAACCTTACTGATTCACAGCCACAAACAACAAATCTAATGTGTAACGCCCAACACTAAAATTTACCGCTCACCCTCGATTCTATGCACTCGATGCTTGAAATGCTGAAATGGCAACCCAGGCAACAAACCGGACTCCAATTGCTCAAAGGCCTTTAACTCTTTATGTCTACGGCAATTGCTCCATGTCTGCTGCAGGTGGATCCTAACTTACCTCAGAGTCCGCGGAATGCCTTGTCACAATCCGAAAGCATGACCCCTGACTTAGTCCTCGTCCTGCCGTGTGGCCGTGCCCTGCGAACCGAACGAGGAGTGACCGACCTCAATTGCAATGCATGAAGCACATGACAAACCTAGTACGAGTGACTGGTGACTGCGGGTGGTTCAAGCACTTGTCGCTTCCGAGTGTGACAGGAAAGAACACAGCAACTGTGCCGATGCAAATCGTCACAAACTGTGCAGCACCAGAACTCCGAGGACCCCGCCAAAGAGGTGCCAGTCCATGTCAGCAACCTGAAGCGCAAAAGTTTAAGTCAGCAAACAGTGCGATAGGAACTAACATCCGGCAAATGTAAAGTGTGCCAGGACAACTCTTTTGAACGGCGAGAGCGAACTGATCTGAACTCCGAGTGCAGAAAACGTGTCACTTTCGAGACTGGCCGGCGAGAGCGAACTGCTCCAGAACTCCAAATGGAGACTGGCCGGCGGGTACGTCGTGCTTGAACGAACTGCGGCTAGTTCCACGAGCCCGGTCCAAGTTCGAGTTTCTTGAGAAACAGTCCGATGCACTGAAAGTCGATCGTGTCACCTGAACCAGCGATGTCCGAAAATTTGTCGACTTGGTAAGTATTTCAGTTATACTACAAGGTTTACCAACAAAAATCTTACTGGTTCTGCTGTTGCACGTCCGTCGGGGCCCTTCGTGATGCAGAAGTACAAGTCCGACGCGTTGTGCGACGACACCGCGTAGTACATGTGGCCCTGCCAGGGAACGGGGACGGCCACCGGGTAGGCCTCCCAGTCGCGGTTCAGCATCTCGACCATCCACGATTGCGGGTGTCGGGAACCGAACAGCGGGGAATGGAGTCCGGCGGAGAGGGCGTTGTCTGTCCTGCGCTGGGCCGCCCCGAGTATCTGCTTGAAGCAGAGCCTGGACCGGCAGTGGGTGCTGCGTGTTTAACCACTCACACACACAAGTGCAAGTACTGGAATGCTTGAATGACTGAGTGCGCTGATGTCATAGCTGAGTGCCACACTCCAACATTTTATCGCCCTGCATGTGTTCGACGAGTATCTGCCAGCCGTCGTCCTTCCTGCTAGGGAACAATTCAATTATCAGAAACACAAACTATTAAAATCTAGAAGTCTCTCTCACTCACCGTCCGAGGAGTCCGTGTCGCGAAGGCAGGGGGCCGCTTGTACAGCAGTCCATCGGTTGCAGCAAGCCAAGACCAAAGCCTACGGGATGTGCTCTGTGGAAAATAATCAATGTATTATAATATTATATGGCTTTAAAAGCATGCACCTTCATAGAAACCACGCTACAACCAACATGGGTGTAACGAGCCTGTCCGCCCATTTCTGCTGCGTGTCGTACGGCGAGTGTTCGGGTACAAAGACAGTCGAGAGCCATTCGGTGCGCCATTCGGGCATCCTGTCGGGTTGTCCAGTGCGGAAATAATATGCCTGCGCAAGGCTCAGATCGGCGAGGAAGCACTGCAAATCCTCCTGCGAGTCAATGTCCGGCGGAAGGCAGTCCAAACAGTTCGACGGCAGCTGCTCGCAATAATCGAGATTACGCTGCAGGATGGTACTTGGGTCTTCCATCCCACAGACCGACGCGAGGTAATAGTCCATCGCACGAAAATCGAATATGACCTCGTCCTGCGGGTCGGTGGAACGGCGAAGAAAAAACGGGAGTCCATGGGGAAGTCCTGCTCGGTCAGCGGAACCGGAGGACGACATGTCCGACGAGAAAGAACGAGGAAAGGGAGAGGAATGATGATGACAGTGGCAGGTGGCTTGGGCTTTCTTTCTGGCAGCGGCATGATAACAATGATTCTGTGTCTAGGCTTCTTTAAAAAACCTAAAGCATCACCAACCACGACAGACCATGATGCTTCAGATCAAAGTCTGCCTGACTTGTGCTGCTGCTCCACACTGGCAAGTGCTAGGCTGCCCACGGTGATCTACGTGTGCCCACTCGAAGTCCAGCGGAGTCACCTTTGTGAGGCCGACGTTAGTACTACATGGGAACCATGGACTCATGATTTGTCCCTAGTCCTTCGGGGTGGTCCTGCGGTGCCGCTTTTGAACTTCCTAGCTTAAATCATAGTAACTTCGAATGCAAAGTGCACAGAAAAGGAGCTTGGACAGTCCTAGGAACCGACCTTGAACAGTCTGGTTACAAAACCCAGCATTCTTTACAAGAGGCAAGCTGCATCGAACTCCGAACGACCGTTGCAATGTGTACTGACGACCCAGGCCTTGTGTCTAAGTCTTCAAACTGACATGTATAACTATGATTCTAAACTGCATTCAGTCAGCTGCTAACCACCCTTGTCCCAAAGGAACCCCACACCCTGTGTAAACCCGACAGCTGAAACACAGACTCTGTGTGTGTGTGGGTGTGTGTATGTGTTGTCCTGTGTATGTCCTGCGAGTGCCAACAGCTGTTGCTTAGTGTTGCATGGGAAACCAGATGAACACAACGTCCCAAATGAAGTCCCCAATCTCAGAAGATGTAACTAACAAGCGAAGAAACCTGTAAGTAGCATCTCAAGACAAGATGGTTCCAAAGGCAACCGCTAAAGAAAAGTATAAGTACCAGGAGAACAAACAGGGAATGTGCATTCTCGAGTC